TCACTAGAGGCCGGGTGGTAGACCGACGTTCAAACACCACTTCCCGATGGCACCGCGCGTGGCCACGAATCAAGCGTGGGCAGCGGAGTAGCGAGCTACACGGGCCACACACACCGCCACAGCGCTGTCCGAGGGGTCCCTGTTCCACGCTGTAGCCGTGATGCCACGGCTCTGTAATATTTTGCAGGATGGTGCTTTGGCGCTCGGAAACGTTGGACTTTTCAGACAAGTCAAGTCCAGTGGAATGGCATCACGCAGGCATGTGGGGGTGTGACTCCATGCAGGCATGTGGGGGTGTGATTCCATGCAGGCATGTGGGGGTGTGACTCCATGAAGGCATGTGGGGGTGTGACTCCATGAAGGCATGTGGGAGTGTGACTCCATGCAGGCATGTGGGGGTGTGACTCCATGCAGGCATGTGGGGGTGTGACTCCATGCAGGCATGTGGGGGTGTGACTCCATGCAGGCATGTGGGGGTGTGACTCCATGCAGGCATGTGGGGGTGTGACTCCATGCAGGCATGTGGGGGTGTGACTCCATGCAGGCATGTGGGGGTGTGACTCCATGCAGGCATGTGGGGGTGTGACTCCATGCAGGCATGTGGGGGTGTGACTCCATGCAGGCATGTGGGGGTGTGACTCCATGCAGGCATGTGGGGGTGTGACTCCATGCAGGCATGTGGGGGTGTGACTCCATGCAGGCATGTGGGGGTGTGACTCCATGCAGGCCCCCGCGCGTCGCGAGCGGCGGCCTCCCCGTCCGTCCCGGCTTCCCTGCCCTTTCCCGATCCTGCTGTCCCACTCTCCTCCCAACGCAACGGCTGAACGGCCGTATTCGTTCTCTTGAAGCACAGTATAACGGAATATGGTGGCATACATATATACGTAGAAATGTACACGTATTCGTTTTCCAGGTTAATGCATGTCGCATTGAATGTGCACAGAGAAGAGGTGCCTCACAGCTTTGGAATCTGCTGCTTAGTACAAAGAAGCAACCAATTTAAAAATTTGCCCACAAATGTTTCTTGTTGTGCAGCTGTTGCGCATTTCACATGAAACGGAACCCATAGGCCGCTTCTCGCCCGTAATAAGATTAGTGTTCTCACATGATTTGTACTTCTTAGAAATGCGGGCACATTTTTGCCCACCGTTCCTGTAGAGATTCTTGAGATGTGGTCGCATTTAGTTGCCGCTATATGAATCAAATCTGCGATGTGTATTTCAACTCAAATACCATTATCCACCCCAGAGAGAGCTCTCGAGGCACCTCCTCCCTGAGGGGGGACTTTGGCCTACTCTTCTATGCTGGCCGGACATGCTGTAAGAGGCGAGGGCACCCACACTTTACCCCGTCACACGCAACTTACCAATCGACTGACTGTGGTGAACTCATGGACACTGCTGCGTGGGCGAGGGGCGTAGAGATAAGCAAAGAAAGAACTTGTTAAAAAAAAACCTTCATTGATGACATCAACTGCGGGAAGGCCACCGTGCTGCGTGATTGATGCTGCCCACATGCGATCGCTTTGCCGTGGTTCCGAGCGTGTTATTTATTAAAGTAAATGGATAACACGTCTTAGGCTGTTGTTGTCGTGGGTATTGTCGAGCTCAGCCACCCTACTTGCATTTTCACAAATACCACGATTGAAAGTGCTCCGGTTACAAAGGGTGACACAGGATGTGTGGCTTTAACCCTTAAGCCGCTACCTTGCGCGACCTCCTCACGAGAATTCCACACCGCTTTGTTGGTTTTTTGCTTTCTTCGGCAGGTTCAATGTCATACACAACGTGGAAGCAGCGAGGACTTTTGAACGGTAACATGTGCTTCAACAACCGACGTTCTTACGAGATCTCAGCGTGTTTCAACTTTTAATTTTAAATGCTCAAAAAGTATATATGCAAATCGGTTGACATCCGAATTGCACCGCAACTCTGCTCTGATTGCCAAGAGACAGCAGGAAGTGACTCCTGCTCCACCCAGCCTAAGGGAACAAAAATATCCGGTTGGGCAACAGCAGGGAACATCAAATGGCAATCTTGTCCAGCGGCCTTCACAACCATCAACAAATGTTCCTCTACCTGTGCAGCAGACAAGCAGTGTCCACTCTGGTACAACGTCTTTTCAACAACCACTGTGTGTGACGTATCATTTGTGCAGCGATTTCAGACCGAAAATCACGCCGCATTTAAGATTTAACAAAACATAAGGCCGCGCCCCAGGAGAGGCGAGCTCTGGAGGGTGTTTGGTCTACTCTTCCACGCTGACCACCCGTGGTGGGAGTGCCCACACTTTACCCTGCCACACACGACCTGCCGCGACTGACTTAACCGCGCTGTACCATCGCCGGGTGACTTAACCGCGCTGTACCATCGCCCGGTGACTTAACCGCGCTGTACCATCGCCGGGTGACTTAACCACACTGTACCATCGCCGACTGACTTAACCGCGCTGTACCATCGCCGGGTGACTTAACCGCGCTGTACCATCGCCGGGTGACTTAACCGCACTGTACCATCGCTGACTGACTTAACCGCGCTGTACCATCGCCGGGTGACTTAACCGCACTGTACCATCGCCGACTGACTTAACCGCACTGTACCATCGCCGAGTGACTTAACCGCGCTGTACCATCGCCGGGTGACTTAACCGCACTGTACCATCGCCGAGTGACTTAACCGCGCTGTACCATCGCCGGATGACTTAACCGCACTGCACCATCGCCGGATGACTTAACCGCGCTGCACCATCGCCGGATGACTTAACCGCGCTGTACCATCGCCGGATGACTTAACCGCACTGTACCATCGCCGAGTGACTTAACCGCGCTGTACCATCGCCGGGTGACTTAACCGCACTGTACCATCGCCGGGTGACTTAACCGCGCTGCACCATCGCCGGGTGACTTAACCGCACTGCACCATCACCGGGTGACTTAACCGCACTGTACCATCGCCGGGTGACTTAACCGCACTGTACCATCGCCGGATGACTTAACCGCGCTGCACCATCGCCGGGTGACTTAACCGCACTGTACCATCGCCGGGTGACTTAACCGCGCTGCACCATCGCCGGGTGACTTAACCGCACTGTACCATCGCCGGGTGACTTAACCGCACTGTACTATCGCCGGGTGACTTAACCGCGCTGTACCATCGCCGGGTGACTTAACCGCGCTGTACCATCGCCGGGTGACTTAACCGCGCTGTACCATCGCCGGGTGACTTAACCGCACTGTACCATCGCCGAGTGACTTAACCGCGCTGTCCTATCGCCGGGTGACTTAACCGCGCTGTACCATCGCCGGGTGACTTAACCGCGCTGTACCATCGCCGGGTGACTTACACGGCGGACGCGCGGCCTCACGATGAGAGCCCCGTGTCCGAGAGACGTTCATGCGGCACAACGACAACAACTGTCAAGACGTACTTTGACACAACCGCCGCGGTCTCCGCCCACAAGAAGAGGGTCGACGACAACAACAACAACAACAAGAACTGTCACGCTGAAAACTGAGATTGCCGGTGGCCACTGGAGGCACGGCTCTCCATGAACCCGTTCAGTCGTCACCACAGCGGAACCAACGCAATGATTTAGCACTCCTATTTATAACATCCTTGACGTGTTGTTGCAAATAAAAATTCCATTTCCATATATATATTACACTGCTGTTGGGGTAGCGCTTTCTAACATCAATTCCTATTATTGCTCAAGAGGTGAGGAATGCAGGGGGCTACGTTTATTGGAAACATGAGGCAGTGTTCTAAAGCAGGCACACAAGCTGCTGCTGCTGCTGCGGACAAAACGTTCCACCGAATGCCTTTTCAGTCTCCGAGGCGTGATCCCGCTTCTCCTCGGCACCGTGGGTGTGCTCACGACCACGGAGGCTCGAGTTGAATTCCTGGCCATGGCTCACACCAAAGGCGGTCACGAATCAGCCACGAAATGAGAGCGTGGGTGGGCGGTGGAAACGTCCAACTCTATAGAGACAAAGATAGCCGGGGGTAATGTTGGCCACATCACCCCCTTGTGCATCGTATTGGTATTCATATCTGTGTGTATTTGTTCAAACGGTATACGCCTATACGGGAGTCTTTGTTGTGTTTTGTGTGTGTGTGTGAAAGCGCACATTAATAGCATCCGTGTACTGGATAAAAGCACCCCCGCGCCGTGTCGGTCATGGGCGTTGTTTGCCCATACTTCGCCAGACTGGTCAATGTGGGTTGTGAAAGGGGGATGATCCTGGGCAAGTCTAGGTTCAGGTTAAAATAGTTCAGCAGCAGTTATTCCGGCCATCATCCCTTCTGGCGATGTCTCCTGTCCAAGCCCACTTTCTATGACCTGCGCTATGTTCTCCAACCCACGTGGCTCCCCCCTTGTTTCTCGAATAAAGAGAAGGCCGCAAAGTTGGACTCGAGATACAAAAGGACAAAAACTAAACTTACAACTTAATTAAACAATCAGAAGGTGGTTCGGGATCAAAATGACGAACTCGAGAGGCTTTTGGGAAAACTGAACCCGACAATGAAAATCGAGAGACGAACGTGCGTGACGCATCGCTGCAACAGTCCCCGCTGTGCTCGCGGATCCCAAACGTGGACATTGGCGGAGAAGCTGCAACCGGACGCTCCGCAGTGCTCCAAGGGCAGCATCGAGAGACGCACCGCAGAGAAGACTAATCAGTTATCGGCGTAAATCAGTTATCGGCATGAATTGGTAATCGGTGGAAATCGATTATATTATAGGCGTAAATCGGTTATCAGTGTAAATCGGTTATCAATTTAATGCGGTTATCGTAAATTGGTCTCGGTGCAAATCAGTTATCGGTATAAAGTGGTTACCGGTTTAACTGGGTTATCGGGGTAACTCTGTTATCGGGGTAACTCTGTTATCGATGTGAACCGGATATCGGGGTAACTCGGTTATCGGGGTAACCTGGTTATCAGGGTAACTCCCGAGGGAACGGCAGAGCGGAGCAGAACGACTCCGCCGCAGCTCCTCACCGGTGCCGAGGTCGGTGCTGCCCCCGTGCGGCGCCCCGTACAGCACTTGCAGGATGAAGCGCGAGATGGCGGCGGCCATGGCGACCAGGCTGGGGATGAGGCCGCGCCGCGCTGCGGAATTCTGGGAGGTTCCAAAGAGCACGAGAGATTCCGGGACCTCGGTGAGACACCGACGCAGCGCCACGATCGCTCCTGCAAGACAGAAGAGTTGGGCCGTCGTTTAGATGGATGTCCACTTCTATGGCTCCTGTGATGTCGTGACACACAGGAGACGATGGTTATTCTGACCGCTTGGTCTCTGACCTGAAGCTGCCTGATGCAGTTTCAAGCGAAACCTCGTTTCTAAATGCTGAAGTTGGTTGTGAGAATTGTTCTTCAGGCTGAAACAATAAAAATAGCCACGTTCAACTGTGGCACAAGCGACACTCTGAATTGTTTGGCTATGTCCGGTGGTGGAGGGCTCACAACAAAAATTTTCCCAGATAATCAATGAGAGGCTAGATCATTAACTTTCCCCTCCCCCACGGGAATAATTTCAACAGTGGTCCTTGCAAGGTATGATTCACCACAGACACCGAAACTCACAAATAACACCGTCAATAAAACATTTTACACATGTTACCAATCTTAATATGATAACATATGTAAAAGGCAATGTTTTATAAAATGGCCTTGTGTCCTAAACCCACAGAAAAGTACAGGGTACAACATTAAACACAAGGTACAGGGTACAACATTAAACACAAGAGAATTCTGCAGCCACAATTGAATATTTTGTATTATTCCTGGTTTGCCTAGGATTCTTTACACATTACGATCTACTTAATATATACACATGGGAGATTAAAAAACAATAAATATTATTCTTAGTAAATAATAAATGTTGTTAATCATTAGTAATATAATAACAATTATTAATTTGAATCTCCATATCAATTCGCTGCTGCTGAATGAAAGCTTCCCCAAATCGTGATGGTCATGAGGGTTGTTTGAACATACTTCACCACGCTGGTCAATGCGGGTTGGTGTAAATGATTGGGCGGGGGAGGAGAGGAGCTGTACTCTGAAATCAAACTCAGGTCACTAGGTTTACAGCGCAGTATTGCTAATAACCACTACACCCTTGCTCCCAATAATCCGTTTCACCGCTCTTGAGTTATGCATGTTACAAAATACAAATAAGTACGAGACAAATAATAAGTGTTTAACACTTAATCGAGTAAATATGAGTAGGAATAGGTTTTACCCTTTCAACTGGCACAAAAACTGACACCTTTATTCAAGGCATCATGTTTGCAATGACCACAACACAAGCAGTCAAAATGCAAACAAAAAAGACAACTCTGATAATAAATATGAGTAGTTAACAATGTGCATGCATAGGTGCATGCATAATGTTTGTCGATTACCATAGAAATAACCCAACCGGCAATGGATACCCATTGTCATTGACATGCATTCATTAATCCCCCCCCCCCCCCCCCTTAGCACGTGAAGGGCTCACAAGTGACGTCACCGCATCTACCCCTCTATTTAAGGAACGAGACAGGATGATTTCTCCACAAATCTGGCTGCTGTCCGCCTGATGAAGCTAGTTGTAATTACTGGCGAAACGTCGTGCTCAGACTGTAAATGTTGTGGATTTTCTCTCCAACACACAACCGGTGTGATGTACTCGTGACGAATTGGCACGTTCTGTTCACGTGACAAAACTTACTAATTGGCTGTGTCGGGTGGTGGCGGGTTCAACGACACATTTATATTTACGCGATCTAACCCCAAACAAAACCCCTCTATTATTGAAATAATAACGTGGCTTCGTGAAGTTTAAACACGTAGGTCTCAACGCACAGGGCCCGAGTCTGAAGCCTTCCCCGTATACCGCATTTATTCATTACTGGCCCCGACATTCCAAAACATTACTTATTACAATGTGGTTTTCATCAGTGCTTTTATTTTGTGCCATTCTTGTCACGAACGTTTTGGATTTACAGAGGCAGAACGTTTCACAAACGCAGAACAACAAAGAAAACGTGTTTCCTAAATGGAAGGAAAACATGAACCTCATGGTGCCGTAAAGGCGTTTGTCTTGCCTTCTTGATGTGCGCTAAGAAACTAATCACATCAAATTTCAACGCGTCTCAAGATGGTAAACAGCATGCAATTACATTGCTTTTTTTCCACAATGAGCGAACGCAGCTACATCAAGGCACTGATATTTTCAGTTATTGCCACGACTCCAGCCAAAATCAGCCACCGAACACTGGAAACGCAGCTGTCACACGCCTAGAAAAACAACGCGGTGAGAGAACTGCTGCTCCGTGGTGCGGACCAAGATTTCCAACGGAAAGCGAGATTTTCTCTAAAGCGTCACAACGCGAAGACAAATTTGGCCCGCAACATTCCAGGGTGCCGGCAACATTGTGTGTGAGCGAATGGCCAAAACGTATATTTGGGAAGCCCAAAACCAATATTTTGGATGATTGCAATTTTTTCTGCCCTGCACTGGAAGCAGACAAATTTTAAACATCAACTCCACACAGCCACCGCTCGATTGGCGATGAAAGTCCACCGGCAGTGGAGGTTGCAAAACGGCTCTCCCGGTTGCCATTCACGAATCCCGCACCGCTCATTTGATCCAACGCCCTCGCCCGTAGAGTGTCGCTGCCGCGATGCAATGACGCTCCGGGCACTCGCCGTGGCAAATCGATAGGTCGGCCGGTTCGATCCCCCGGCGTGGCAGTTGAAACAATAGGGAGCGTTTAATAAAGTACACCTCCCTCCCCCGCCTCTGTCCATCCAGCGACACCAGTGTGTTCACAAGAGTTTGCCGGTCGGCAGGTCGACTCCAGAGTCAACTCGAGCCCGATTCTCCTGGTCCTCTCAGAGCGACATCGGTTGCCTTACTCGTCATTCCCATGAGCACTGGGAGCAAGGCTCTGTTGGCCCAGGAATGGCCCAGTTCTGGCTTAGGATCGGCACCAATCACTTGTGCATAACCTTAACACCACGACGGGACTGGTCATTATTATTTGCATGATAAATATAAAAATGTACAACCCTTTGTCAAGATCCACTGCTGGATTAAAGCCTACCCCATGCCGTGTCAGTCATGGGGGCTGTTCAACCATACTTCACCACAATGGTCACCGTGGGTGGAACTAGCGGTGCGAAAATATAGAAACTAACATGTCATTTAACACTCACATTAGGGAATCGAATTCATGCCACCGGGTTCATGGCGCAGTGCTCAATCCACTGTACCGTCACCCTACCCCCGGGGTTCAAAATAAACTTTAAAAGACTTAGGCAGCACATTTAGCTGGACATTAGAGACGATTTCATGCCATGACCATGAGAAACATAATATGAAAAACATTTCACCAAAGCCTACGCTGACTTAAAATTTGGCAACGTTATTTTTATACCAATACTCTCAGCCTCACCCGTGAGTTCATATATCCATGGAAACCACTTTGTTGAACACAATTCTGTCTTTGCGGGTAGTTAAGTGAAATTACTCAACTCAAAGGAGCCTTTTAACTGGATATGTTTTGTGGTTTTCTCTTTCCTTTGCCGATTTGTACGACATCTCTTCTGCGCTAAAAACCCCCCAAAAATCCCGGCATCAATTACATCCCCTAACCGCAGATAAACATCCGACGTTCATCGCGCCCGCATTTGGATGGCACACCCTTGATGCGATGGCAGTGGCGCCTCCGTCGTCGCGCGCCACCCTGGACGCGTGCCCTCGCGTCACACGCCTCGCGTCACACGCCTCGCGTCACACGCCTCGCGTCACACGCCTCGCGTCACACGCCTCGCGTCACACAACTCGTGTCACACGCCTCGTGTCACACACCTCGCGTCACACACCTCGCGTCACACGCCCTCGCGTCACACGCCTTGCGTCACATGCCCTCGCGTCACACGCCCTGTGTCACACACCTCGCGTCACACGCCCTCGCATCACACGCCCTCGCGTCACACGCCCTCGTGTCACACACCTCGTGTCACACGCCTCGCGTCACACACCTTGCGTCACACAACTCGTGTCACATGCCTCGCGTCACACAACTCGTGTCACACACCTTGCGTCACACGCCCTCGCGTCACACGTCTTGCGTCACACGCCCTCGCGTCACACGCCTCGCGTCACACGCCTCGCGTCACATGCCTTGCGTCACACGCCTCGCGTCACACAACTCGTGTCACACACCTGGCGTCACACAACTCGTGTCACACACCTGGCGTCACACACCTTGCGTCACACGCCCTCGCGTCACACGCCTTGCGTCACACGCCCTCGCATCACACACCCTCGCATCACACGCCTTGCGTCACACGCCTTGCGTCACACGCCTTGTATCACACGCCCTCGCAATCACACGCCTCGCGTCACACGCCCTTGCGTCACACGCCCTCGCGTCACACACCTCGCGTCACACACCTCGCGTCACACGCCTCGCACCTAACGGTTCCCGACACCCGCTCCGCGGAGGGGCTATGACCGGTCGCCAACTGGGAGGCCTCGTGCCAGTGCCGACAGGAAAAGGAAGAGGAGGGGCCCAATCCGTGGATCCAATTAATGCACAATTACAGCAGGAGGGTCCAAAATGCAAGGTAATTAGGCCTAATCGCCAGTATCGCATTCCAGATAATTTTGCCCAAAGGCAGGGGCGGCTCTCGCGTGGGGCTGTAACCACGAGCAGCACATTTCCTCCAGGACCCCCCCCCACCCCCAAACCACCTGATGGTCTGCTCTGGGATCGTAAGGAACGCTGTGGAAATCAGGGCCACTCTGCCGCTATTGCCGCTTTTAGCCACAGTAACCAGACAAGGGGCACAGCAAATGTATAATGGTTTATGACTTATAAATAATTGAATAGAAAATTCTTTGAGCAGGAGACTAGCGCAACCCATCCGGAAAACCCGGCACATTTGGCAGGCACAATGAGGCCCATTCTGTTCACTTGAAAGGAAAACGTGGGGGTGGGAGAAAAAATATTGTAATTTTTCACACTTGGATGTTTTTAACCACAAAAATCAAACGTGGTAGAACTTAATACATTCGTGTACATGCGCGACACCGCCAAGTTTTCTCACACCAAGCTAAAGCGTTTTTTGGCAGAAAAATCGGCTACGAATCCCGGCCTACACAGCCTCGCCCGGACGCCCGGCGGGCGGCCAAATGTCGACTTTGCCTTCACTCTGTGATATTGCGGATCGTCAGTGCCGCTGAAATGCCTGTCGGGTACATTTCTGACAGCTCCCACTCACATGTTTCATTTTGTCCTAACGAGTGTGGAAGTGGGCTCACCATGCACTTGTGACAGCACCTGAAAGCCATGCTTATGGAAAACAAAAAGGGGGTTACGTGAATTTACTCCCCCAAAAATAAATATTCCAAGTCGAGTAAATAGCCACGGCTTTTTTTTGTTTCTACACATTTGCTTACGCTCAAACATTATTGCGCGCTCGGTGAAAAAAAGTTAACGTTTTACACGGCTGGTTGGCGCTCTGAGTGGAGGTCGAGCGCCGCCAGTGCCAACGAGCGGGCGGCCGCTTCGCCGACGAGCCGCTGCCACGCGGAGCGATGGAATCCGTCGCCAATCGTCAGTTCTGCACTGCGGACCTCGCGCGCCGAGTTCGATTCCCGACCACGGGCTAACGTCGGCGCAGTGCCGGGTTACGTTAGTGCGGGGCCTGTAGCATATGTTATAAAGGGGCTCTAAATATTTAAAAAAAACACAGATATAAAACACACAAATGTTTAACTTGATAAAGTAAAGTAATTGTATTTTTTTTCATTTGCTATACAGCCGGATAATGTGACAAATCGCTAACCTTAAACACCCAGTCGTTGATAAAAATTGAAGGCAGTATAGTGCTATAGTAATAGAGCAAGTGCAGAAACACTGAACCAGAATTGATAGCTTGAAAGCATTAAGTGCAGGGCCCTTGAAAGTGCGGAGCCCATAGCATCATATGTAGCTACTTTTGCACCGAGGATAATCCACACTGCGTCGATGGCGAGCGATTATATACGAACTGGTCGTGGGCCCCTTCCATCCCGCACACCGGCCTATGCTGACAAGCGTGGTGAAGTATGGTCAAACAAGCCCCATGGACCAACATGGTGCACGGAGCCTTCACACAACAGTGACAAAGGACTGCAAATTATTTTCATTTTAATTTCTGTGAAAAAATCTATTTAGGCAGCGTAAAATTGGGAAAATCTGGACCATCATACAAGTCCATCGGTGCTCATATATTTAAAAGTGGCTCATACAGCCTTATAAGGCTGAGTGTATTTCTGTATACACTTTATGAATAAACATGGGAACTGTGTAACAGAGTCCTGACAATGATGACGATGATGATGACGTCTTAGAGAAGAAGAAGACCAACATCTGCCAGCGTGGTGATGTTATGGTCTCTGACATCCAGTCAGGAACCACACTTATCCCAACATTAGTCAAAGAACGCTTCCACTCACGAATGCCACTTTCATGAACTTTGTAGACAAAACGTGAAAAAGTTTATGCTCGCAGTGAGTCAATCGGTCGGTCGCGTCCGGTGGAGTCAAGCGTGGGAACTTCCACCGCTTCCAAAACATCGTCCCAGCGTGCTGGAGTAGGCCAAAACACCTGGTTCTACAAGGGCATTACCACGTCTCACTCCAGGGCTCACCACAGCCGAGCCCCTTTTGTCAGCAGTGGCGTGAGCAGGCGATTTTGGGGCTGCGCCTCTACCGCTTGTTTGTGTATGTACGTATGTTGAACTTCTTTCGCACCGTTTGTAGCCAACCGTGCTAATGGGAGGTGCGGGGGAAGGACAACAAACTAAACACGAAAAGTAGTTCTAAAGAAATGAGTTTACAATCTATATTTAAAAGCGCGTAACTCCAGTGGCTTCCTAATATCAGAAGGAAGAGCATTCCAGACGGCCGCAGAAGCGCATTTGAAAGTGCACGATGCGGTGACCGTCTATGTTAGAAGGCCAGCCAATAGCTGCTGCTGTGAGGATGACCGGAGCTTGACGTCAACGGTGCCTCCTCGTGTACTACCCACCGTGCATGGGCATGGTCATGGAGGCTTCCAGGATGCTCGTCTGGGCGCACTCGAACTGCGTCCGCAGCGTCGCCACGATCTCCGACACGAACTCCGCCGCAGCGTCCTGGCAGGAGTCGGCCCCTTGGGCTCGCGACGTCGCCGAGTTCACCACGAGCCTGCGGCGACGCAACGACAACGGCGGGGGGCCCAGCACGCTGCCACTGTAGTATCATCAACATTATCATCGTCATCATCAACATCATCGTCATCATCAACATCATCAACATTATCATCGTCATCATCAACATCATCAACATTATTATCGTCATCATCAACATCATCAACATCATCAACATTATCATCGTCATCATCAACATCAACATTATCATCGTCATCATCAACATCATCAACATCATCAACATTATCATCGCCATCATCAACATCATCAACATCACCAACATTATCGTCATCATCGTCATCATCAACATCATCAACATTATCATCGTCATCATCAACATCATTATCATCGTCATCATCATCATTATCAACGTCATCATCATTATTATCAGCCATTGTCACCCCACTGCTTGATGAAGGCCTCCTCAAGACCCCCCACCCATCTCTCACAATCATATCGTCTGTAGTGACTCAACAGTCAATATGATGCATCTAAGGTGCAGAGTTAGAGGGCTTGGGGAGGACACGTCGCTGTGAGAACAGACGCATCAGCGCCGAGGCCCTGATGTATCCTCATCCTCACTATCCTCAACTTACCTGACGCTTTGCTCCCATTCCTCCGTCCCCTCTCCATCTTCCTGCTCCTATTCCCATTCATCTTCTCTCTTCCCACTCCTATTCCTCTTCCCCTTTCCGATGCATTGCATCCTTGACTCCCCTTCCCGTGGTGCTGTGCCACAGCTACAATGGTGCTTGTCTACATTCGAGCGCAAGCACAACCTTAAACCGGAAGGCCATACAAGGCTCTGGTACGCTCGCACATGTTTCACCGTGTAATTGTTATTACGTAACTTCCAACACCATAGAAAACAAAAGGGATGAGGGAACAGCCATATTCACTCACCCCATATGTTTGGCAAAAAAAAAATCACATCTTAAAGTAAAAAATGTGAATGAATTTATTTCCAAAGCACCCCCAGGTATTTGCCCTGGCTTATTTTAAGCCCGCTATCCAAGGGGCCGCTTGTTTTAAGCCAATTTCCGCGCTCCTTGCAGCGAATATTAATGAGGGCGCTTGAACACACGGCCGCATTCACCGCGGTCCTGCAGCCAATTTGTTTACTGGACGTGTGCTGGGCCCTGTGAGTGCTGAGCAATGTTCACGCCAACTGCGTTGCCAGGGACCGGTAGCCTGCTGGTGTTTGTGCTCCAGGGTTTCTATTTTATTTTTTATTTTAAGCCGTTTAATAAATCAGCTCACAGTCCATCTGGTCAATGTAACCGGGCTCCACTCATTGACCAGGATGGCAGTGCGTACTTTCAGCATTGTGTTTTTTGTTTTTTCTTCTCTACAATTGATCCCATTTGTAACTGTTTGAAATAAATATGCTTCCTTTAATTATAATGAAACGTTAGTAAAAGTGATGGCCAGCTCAACACTTACTAGCACCAACTCACAAAAATGGCCAAAACCCGATGTAATCCCTCTAATGGCCACTCTTTTTTCAGACTATCGTATTCTCCGGATTATAAGACGCACTTATTCCCCTGTAACTTTAGAGCAAAAGTTGGGGGTGCGTTGTATAACCCGGCGTGTGCGTGCGTGCGTGCGACCAGAGTTGTGTAACTTTCTGAGCGCCCGGCACGATTTTTTTTTGGGGATGCGTCTTCCCTTCCGGAATGCCTTCAAATCCGGAGAACACGGTGACGTGAATAGCCATGGAACAGTGGCCGGGACACTGCGCTCGTGAACCTGGGCGACCTCAGTTTGATTCCTGGCCATGGGTAACATCAGTGGCGACTAGTCCTGGGCTCATGCATTATCCCAACCAGCAGTGACTAGCATGGTGAAGTATGGTCAAACAGGCCCCCATGACGTATATGGTCTATGGAGGTCTTGATCCAGCAGTGGATGGATAAAGGAATGTAAATAATAATAAGAACGGTTGCTATTTTATTAATTTACATGCATAAAAAGTATTTAAAACCCAAATGACACATCAGTAATCCTTAAAAAAAAAGGATTTAAATTTTAATTGAAAAAGTAAAGCTGCAAACCCCTAACACCAGCTTAAAGTCAAAAACCACATTAATGACTCAGTGTATTCACAGTCATTAATGGATCTGGAGTGTTTTTTTACAAACATCATTAACAGCCTTCGTGGATACTCTCCCCTTGCCCAGCTCTTCCTCTGTTGAGCTAAGCTCTGCTACGCATAAACCAACGCAGCCTCCACGACAAAGACAAAGATTCCGCCACCCCCTGTAGCCTTAACAGACTGTCAGGGCAAGTGCTGTTAGCGAGCACCTACGAAGGCCGGCAAGGCACACGAGGGGGTGGGTGGCCAGCACCACGCCCGACCGGCTTTGTCTTCCGAGTGGCGACGTTTACGCACCGGGCACTCATTTGAGGCCGAATTGACCTAGGGGAGGCCCGGGACCGGTTCAGGTAATCGTCACCGGTGCGCTGACCGCCGCACGACGGCTCCCGGCGACACGCACGGCCACGCACGGCCACGCACGCAGCCCGCTCCACGGCAGGCAAAGTGTCGCCGACACCTCACGGGCCACCCGCAGCTGCGGGTGCCTCGCGTGCCGGCAGCCCCCACCTCCCCCTACCCCCCACAACGTCCCGCGACGCGCGGCACGAAGCCCGGCAATTCCCCCGCGCGTCTCCGCTCTGCGGCTCTCTCGCCCGGACCTCGCTCCGACAGGTGAGGGCAGAGTCAGGGATTATCCGCAGGAGGCTAATGGTTGACCATTAGCCCCATCACAGGGGAGAAGCCGGATTATAACAGGATTACGTGGCTGCTGCCTTTCGATCGGCTGAAGTTAACACCATTGTCCTATTCAGGCGGCCAGCTGAGGACAGATGCAGAGCCTAATCCAGCACATAAAGAGCGAGCAGCTTACCGACAGGGTGGGATTGTGCGTAAGCCTGCGCCAGATTGAAAGCGCCCCCTGAGACGGAGGCGAATGAAGTGCGGAGTTTTATTCCAAGTGCCCCCCGAGCTTTCAAACTCGCTATGAAGACAGCGCTCAGATGTGTTGTCCGGTTGCGCCGCACGTCGATCGGCACGATGTCCGACGTTTCGCTCCGCACGCAGAGAGCTCCTTCAGGAACGGAAATAAACCCCAGGAGGTCGACGCGGCACGGACTCTGCAGCTGCTGTGAAGGGCTGCCCCCCGCAGTGGGGTTTACGTTTCCACTTGTCATGTAAAGAGGTGACAATGCTACCCTTTCGATTATAAAAAATAATGAGAAGCAAATCAAGGCGAAGGCGAAGCTTTAGAACTGGTAAAACATTCCTACCGGTTCTGCAACGCAGCAGAACAGAAAAGGCATCCAAACAGCCGCGACGCTGAACTTTGCGTAAAAGTATTAAGACGACGACACTTATTTACCAATGCTGCTATTTAGTTATGCCGCATAATACGTGTGCATGTGCTGTGGAAAATGGGAAGCTGAGATCGATCCCAGGCAATGGCTGACATTGTAGTTGCGAGCGGTACCTGAAGCGGTCCCGACCGTAATTCTTGGTCTCAACGACCGTAGCAGCCTCCTGGACGTGGAGCGTCTCAGCTCTGGCCACGGTGCTAATGAGCCAACTCGTTGTTGGCGATAGTTTGGTAACAATTTGGCCCATCAGGAACGCGTCTTTCACACCACTTTTGCTCGTAACCTTTCCGCCGCCTCTCCAATGTAATGGCACCGTACGCTCCGTGACTATGTGCGCCAATTTAAACTTAATTTTGGACAAATCTCGCACCTTGTTTCCATTAAATAATTAGTTACGCGCTGTGACAACACTGCCCTTCATGCAGCCCCGAGATATGAATAGGCCCGTTCAAGTTAAGTTTTCACAGAAAAAAAACTACAAAGGCACCAAACGTTTGTAGTTATTTCCCCAACGTTCTCCGGAGCGCACCGCCGACGTCATGGCATGAGACACAGAGCCCTGGGGAATTCTCGCAGAGCACAGAACGGTCCACAGAAGGAGATATCACAGAACTGTTTCTGAATTCTCAAGTGGCCTCTAATCCCCTGCAAGGGCAGCGCTTTCCCACCCAGCCTGCGACAGAGAGAAATGTTTGCTGCATAACATGCAAAAAGCCATGAAAAAAAACATCTCAGATGGAATGTAATATGGATGAGTGTTATTGTTCAGTAATCGGTAACTGAAGCTTAGACCATCATTCCACTAGGCTAGAGAGCACAGTTTCATTAGAGGTGGCTGCAAAGATTCAAACCCAGGCCTCTCAGTGGTGCCAGCTCGAGATTCTGGCCCACATTTATTAGTTATTTAGTTTTCCATCCCAAGGCCACACGTTTATTAAATTTCATGTTCCCAATAAATACTGTTCAACTTTCATTTGAGACCAAGGTTACTTTTTTTAGGTCTTCGAGTTGCTTAGCCTTCTGCGGTGCAGAGGAACAAATATAATTAGCGTGCTCTGTGGGAGATCGATAAACGTAGACCCCGGGGTGTCCCTTGCAAGAGGAACTTGCACGCGCACTGGGCTCTCACCTCATATGTCTGTCTTCCGTCTAACTCAATAACGTATCACACACCGTGGCAACACAGGAGGGAAACGTTAAACAGGACCCAAAAGAACGACATCAGATAGACAACCCAATTGAAGCGTAGCAGACAGACCGCTCTTGTATACACTCGTGTGCCGATGGACGGAGAGCCAGCAGCACAGAGACAGAGCAGAGAAAGACAGGGAGACAGGTAAATGCATGACCAGACAATAACGAACAGACACAACACTGTTTGGAAGAACAAACGGATTTCTCCAGGATAAATAAAGATTCAGATTCTAAAGACTTTGAACCAGACATGCATGCAGAGGCAAAAACCAACGTGATACGGCCGAGCGGGAGCGCATTTACCACGCGTTGCGGAGGTTCGCGGTTGGACCCCAGCGGCCGCCCTGGTCAATGTTATTGGTGTACTCACCAAATAATTTGCATCGTCTTCTCTGCAGTGGATGTCAAGGATCCCGTGACGTCATTCGACAGGAGGAAGAGGCCATCGTGCGTGCCGGGGCATCACGGTAAAAAATTATGTTGTCGCATTAAAAAAAAACAAATCGCCAAAAGTCACGTGGCCACATCGTCCCCTGCTGCGGACGGGCGCGATCGTCCACGCGGCGCCTTCGTGACAAGCCTCGCGGCGGCCAGAGTCGCGCGGGTACACGGGGCGCACGAAACGCCGGTCGGGCCACGATGGCCGGGCGAGCGCGTGGCACGAGGCTCACTTGTGGTAGACGAGCTTGAGCAGCAGGGCCCCGGCCTCGGCCTCCGGGGCCTTGGGGCTGCGTAGGAGAGCGGCGGCTTGGGACGAGAGGACGTCGCGCCACGGCAGCAAAGCCTCCGCCGGGAAGAAGCCTTGGAGCAATTCAGCTGCGAGCTCACGCACCTCCACGCGGCCACACGGCCAGGAGAGAGACCAGGAGCGAGGGGTGGGGGTGGAATTCATCACAATTAGTCGCTGAGGGTTGTGACGGGTTTCTTTTGTCATTCCCGGTGTTCCGTGCCCCTGGGTGCCGTTCCCACTCCACTGTGATGCGCTCACCGGTGCCCACTTTATTGAGAACAATACTGGCACGTAAAATCAATAATTATTCATTTATGCGGCACTGCCATCTTTTTGTTCGCACCACTGCTGGCGTTAGTGCCTTCCCGCTGGAGGGAGCCCTAGGGGGGATCCTCTGAGCAGGGGTCCCCAAACCCCCGGGCCGTGGACCGGTACCGGTCCGTGGCCTGTTAGGAACCGGGCCGCACAGCAGGAGGTGAGCGGTGAGTCCACGCTTGGCCCGCCCCCATTATTTTATTATTTACCACTTCCGTCCGCGCCTCTTTCCCGCACTGCGCACTTGTCTCAGTCACAGTTTTGGTAAGCCCACAAGCTAACCCCTAGTAGCCAAAATGAGCAAAAAACAAACGTCGCTAGAGAGCTTCTTTGAAAAGGGGGACCGCTGCTCTTGAGAGCTTTGGCCTGCTCTTCCAAGCAGCAAAGATGTCTCAGAAGAGGCCCTCCTCATTATTAACCACACGTATGTTACGATGCACCAGAACCTTTCCCGTGCAATGAACGTCTCTCAACTTCCCTTTATGGTCAGATTCGGCCGTCCGTTCTAGTCGATAAATGACGACAATGTTGTAACCTCACGACTGGGTCCAGTCAAATTCAGAACAAACATCGTTTTGTTAATTAAATTTGGTGCACATGAAAGCCATGTGCCGCTTGGGGTTAACTCATTGCTTGGAACCAAGATGTATAGCTTGCTCGGTCCCCTGTAGAGGGTATCATCCCTCTGCTTTACAGCTCCAATACTGGTGGATTTTTATTTATTAGGATTTAAAACGTGTTTACAATTTTGTTACTTTCTTAAATCCTACCGCCTCTGTCCATCCAGCAGTATAAACGGGTTCACCACATTTAGCCGTATCCTTTGGGGGTTTTTTGTTTGTTCTACGTGACTTTACTGAAAGGCCCGAAGAATATGAATTCCTGCAGTCACGAAAGCTTTAAGTCAAGATTTAGTCGATCGACAGGCCTCGTGTGATGGGATAAACTGTGGGTACTCCCGCCAGCGAGCAAGAGTAGGCCAGATGCCCTCTCTAGAGGGGCTCTCCTAGAGGTCGCTCTAGTGGAGGCCCATCCGCCAGCAGAGGCGTGAGTGGGCTGCTTCAGGGCTGTCCCTCCAGGGGTTTATGAGCTGAGAGCTGTGGTAGCGTTCGTGTGCTGTGCGGGACTGCAGGAACGGAACATTTTCCCATGAATGACAAAAAATAACTAAATCTATTACATTTGTAAGCAGAAACGAAATAAAATATATTAAAAACAAAAAGACACGTTAGCTTTTAGTCTTCTTCAAGCACTCAGATGCTATACTCTGCAGAGGCCGACATCAATCAAATTAGTTACGTATAATATATTTTATATTAAAATATTGAACAGCTCTCTAATGTCATGAACCCTTCCAACCACCCGCTCCCTTGTCCCATGTCAACTTTCTTCCGAACTTGAGCTAAAACATGCGTTGGAGATAATTATTTGATTCTAATCTTTCCGAAAAGTGGAATATTGGTCCACATCTGTTCGAGCGAACGCCGTCGCCGCTGCTGAATTAACGGGTGCCCCCCCCCCCCCCACCAAGCTCGCTTTAACTGTGGCTCGAGTGAAGGAACCCAGGGAGCGGAGCTGCCTCGCAACACCGCGTGCAGATACGCCGAGTCCGGTGTGTAACCGTGGTTTCTTGTCGGACGAACACAACTTTTTTTTTTATATATACAAGTTGAAAATGAGACGCCCGAAGATCAAAGTGGAAGAGTAGTTGGCCGAATCTCCGCACGCCACGTAGTCCCGTGTTAGCGCAATACGGCACAGTAACTACGGTGGCATTGGAGTTTGCGTTCCAGACCAGGTTCTGGTTACTTCACTGTAACAGGGTGTTTTGATGTACTATGAAGTCATATCGCAGCTGTCGATGGGCTAACATTGGTCTTCATGCAAACAACGGGGCTTTGATAAGAACAGGAATATACCGAGGGAACCTCAAACGTACATGTGCCCAGCATGTCGAGGGCACGCTGTGTTCAGCACACCCCGGAATGTGTCACTTACGATGAATCAACGAGACGATACAGACAACTATTGTAGTAAGGCAATCGTCCTCGTAAACCATTGTCTATCCACTGCTGGATGAAGGCCTCCCATTGGCTGTCACCATCTCCGACGGTCCCGCGAGACAACAATCCATCTCACTCCAACATGTACACCTCTGTCACTGCTCCATCTCCAGTGGGGACGTGTTCTCCTCGAACAGGACCTGACATTTGTTTGACAAATTACCTTTTATTTTTGGTTCATTTTGGTACGTTTTGCTCAAAGGAAACCCGTTCATCGCTGTCGCATTACGAACCAAGTGGCAGGGGGTTTGTCGAGTGGTTAGCGCACTCCGGTATCAACCAGGCAACCTACGTTTAATTCCCAGCCACGGCAAACATCGGCGGCGAGCGATACCTGAACCGGTCATCGGCCGCTTTCCCCCTTAAACCAATCCACATTCATCGGCGTGGTTGAATATGTCCAAATAACCTCCACGACCAAAACGGCACGGGGAGCGGAACGGTAAAGGGCGACACAACCACCATCACGATCGCCATCGCCACACTCTTGTTTTTATTGTGACTGCGAACACGCGGCGGACGGCTGTCGCGGGCGTGAGCGCCCACGGTTGCAAACGTCACGGCGTACGGAGAGAACGGCACGGGGGCGGCAACGCCGCGAGCCCTGGCGCTGCCGGTACCTCGTTGGTGCCGTCCTGCAGGCACACGCAGAGCACCGAGACGCCGCGCTGCGAGCAGAAGTCCCACCGCCCGTGGTGACGCGCCCATGACACGAGCTCCTTAACGTCCTCTGCCAAGGCAAACAAACAAGACGCGAGGATTTGCACAGGGAAGCTTGGGAACGTGATATTTTAAGACGTTAAATGCTTAAAAAATAAAGAGTCACAAAAAAAAGAGCATCTTTTATAGTCCACGTTTTCACGCAAAGCCCTTGTAAGAACACTGCCCCGTCGTAGACGCGGCGCTGCCGCGCAGGCCGGCAGGGCTTTACCTTCGACACTGACACCAAAACAAATGCACGGACCGATGCAACGCTGGCGGAGCGGGTGCATGCGGCCATGTACCTGTCGACTCCTTTCCATAGGTACTTTCGTAACGACGAAGGGCAATTCTCCTTTTTATTTAACTCACTCTGCCTGTTGTTGTTGTTGTATCCTCAAATCTTGTAACTCAATTTTAACCCACTTCCCAATGTGGTATCCACTGCAAACTTGGTATACTTATGTCACACTGATGACAACACTATATTCTATCAAAATGAATAAAAAACAGTATTTTAAAATTTCGATTTAAAGCTTTCGTGACTGCAATGATTCATCTTCTTTGGTTCTTTCGGTAAAGTCACGTAGAATGAGAATAAAATAATAAATTGATAAAATAAAATAACAATAATATTCTCACGACGTTTCGGCCACAACACAAGCGGCCTTCATCAGGTGAAGGGAGCGAGACTGTCTGATGAAGGCCGCTTGTGTTGTGGCCAAAACGTCGTGAGAATATTATTGTTATTTTATTTTATCAATTTATTATTTTATTCTCATTCTACGTGACTTTACCGAAAGAACCAAAGAAGGAGTATTTTAAAACATTCATTTTTATATGTTATGTTTCGGCTTGGGACTAATTGTCCACGCTCAACTCACGTTGGCTGTAATTGCCCACGGCCCCTTACGTTATGGCAAGCTTTGCGGCCACTTCCTGGAGTCGTGGAGTTCTGCCATTACGAGTAGGGTACATTTCATTAAAGCGTGTTTAAACATTTTTTTTTTAAATATTACTTATTTCTATTTGCTACATTCGGATTTGTACTAAATTATAGATAAATGTAACTTACATATTATATATATGTATGCACATACTTCAAATGACTTGATATAACCCAATTATTTGGTGATGTGGCGTTTGGCTGTAGTGCACAAACACAAATAGCAAACAGCTAAACACATTCATCAATAACACTGTGGCTTCTAAAGGAAAGAATATATAATTGCCAACGTTTTGGGCAATGGCCCTTCTTCATGGTGCTGCCAAGAAGCGTCATCTCCTCAACGTCGCCCATTGCGCAGCGTTACAGCTGAGCGTGGTCAGCTGTCTGTCATCACCCAGGTCGCCCCTCCAGAAGAGGCCACGCGTCTCAACGGGCCTGTACCACGGCTCCTGGTAGAACAACGGATGCGAAAAACTTCCTCGACTACTCCCGATGGATGCTCAGCCGATTTACGAAGCAAAAAGCCGGCGTCCTGACCTGGGGGTTTGCCTTTCTTCTTCTCGGGCTGCGGTACAACCGAGAAGGTCTCCAGGAGAGTTGACAGGAGCAGCAGACACATCTTCTTGCGCTGGAAGCTTGCGCCAGGGAAGAGGGAATCGAGGCACAGGTCCAGCAGCCAGTCGACGAATTCTGACAAACGGAGAACGTTAGAAACGCCTTCATCACCGAGTGGGAGCGTGGACGTTGGGCTCAGGTTGAACACAATCACTCTTCGACGGCCAGGAGAAAACGTAGAGGGTGGTGCAGCCCTGCAAGCGCCTGCTCGAGCCACTGCTGGTGCAAGGGCCTCCACTAGAGGGAGCTCGAGGGCATTTTGGCCAACTCTTCCACTTGAGGCTTCGAGTTCGGAGCTCAACGCGCGAGCCACCGCACCCCCCCCCGCCCGTGAACCCTTACCCGCGCCTTCGCAGTTTCAAACTCTCACCTTTGCGCCACGTTTCACCATTAACCTTGCCCACTAGTAAGGAGAAAATCACTTTCAATTTACAGTAAGCACAATGTAAGCACAAGCTCGGAACGCAGTACTGACGAGCGCGATGCGATCGCCGATCGACGGCGAGCAGATGGCACTGACCGACGGTGCGCTCGAGGACGCCCGGCGAGCGAGCGCCGGCGGCGCCGTCGGCGCCCCGGAGCCGCCTCTCCCGCCGCAGTGCCACCAGCGCGGCGTCGCGCAGGTCGCTCAGCGCGCGCCGCACGCCGCCCTGCAGCTGCTGGCGGAAGGCGGACGAGCCGACGGGCAGGTTGAGCGGCACGAACTCGCGCAGGAGCGCCATCTCGGCGGGGCCCGGCGGGTGCCGGTGCCGCGGCCCCGCGCCGCACACGAAGGCCAGCGCCGCGGCCCGCACGCCCTCGTCCCGGTGGCACAGGCACCGGCGGATCCGGGCCGACACCGCCCAGCGTCCCTCGGGTCCGGGAGTGAGGACGGACCTGGCGACGCTCACCTGAAGGCGGCGGCAAGGGGCCTCACTCGGTTGGTTCGTCACGTCCGCAGGTGAGTCCACGCCACAGGTCACCGCTCCGCTCTTTCTACTTTCTACTTCTTCCCTCTCACTGCTCGGGGAAAGACGACGAAGGGAATTCCCCTCGCATTGCCTCCCCAACCCCCTCCCCCGAGTGCTCAGAACCTAGCACGGGTGAAGGAGACAATTCGCTCCCATCCACTGTACCTACAAGCAGCACTGTGTGTCGCTGGCGTTCTGGGGCCCTTGGATTGTGTTAAAGTAGAGAGCGTGATAATATAAAAACTACCACAAGCCACACGTGAAATAGCCACAACATGTATTTATCAAGCAAAGCCGAGAATGAATTGAGTTCGTATCGTGATGACAGGTGTATCCGACTTACCAGATTTATCCAGGGCAGGAGATCATCAGGCCCACTGAAGTGGTCGTTCATCAAAGCAAACGTCTCTGGGAACACCTGGTCCACATCAACGAGCACATCAAATACAAACGCGCATTGTAGAGAAATTAGGGTTTGTTTGGAATGGCTTTTTGTGCCGCGCTAAGAAACGTACATTCCCAAAACTTGCTACCCGAGTCAACAACCCAGGAGGCTCCAGGCCAGATGGTGAACACTCATCACCGAGAGTTCATTCTCAACTGAACTATTTAAACTCTTTTTTTTTATCTTACCAGGTAAGGCCCACTGAGCTACATAGCTCTTTTTCAGAAGCGTCCTGGCCACAAATGATGGCTCAACGAAGTGGCTTCTCATCATCACGTGGACATTTATAGAAGCCAAATAATCTAAACGCGTGATGCTGATTCTATATGTGGAGGGGAAAAAACTGGAGGACGTGGAGAAAAATCCCCATGACCACGGGGAGAGAGACACGCAAACTCCAAATATACAGCAAGCATCATGGTGGGGATTGAACCCACGACCTCCTGCATACCAGGCGAGGGAGTTAACACCCAGGATTGCATCCAGAATAATGTAGCGGGTTAATGAAACTGCTTTCCTCCCGTGTGCCGGTATAGTAATAATAATAAAAAAACCTACGATGGTGTGTCGTAATTGACACCGCTAATTTTATATCCGGTAGAGCCAACCTTGAGGGTGCACGGCAGGAGGTAGCTGGACACGTTGTACAGGAGCAAGGAGACGCCCGACGTCAGCGCAGAGTGCAGCATCTTGAGCCACCGGTCAGCCCACATCTCAGCCAGCCTCGACTCTCTGGCGTGGAGCTCCGGCATTAGAATATCCTGGCGCGCCTCTCGACGGACAGCGTCTCCGCGTGCCGACCCCCCGTCTCCCATCCCCCCGTCCGATTGCCTGGCGGCGTCCAAGCCCTCCGCCCGTGCGGACTTCGTTGAAACCCCGACGGCGAAGCGGTCCGGGCCAGGGTGGCCGCGGGGTTTTGAGGTGTCCGCTTGCTGCTCGCGTTCTGGGAGGTCGACCGGCCGAGTCGCGCAGGGACCGAGCGACAGATCCCTCTCCCACGCGTCCCTCTGACTCTTCAGCAGCTCCTTGTAGAGCTCGGCAGCCAAGGGAGCCAGGTAGTTAGTGGAGAGGCAGGACAACATCTGCTGGGGAAGATCTGCGTCCGCCTCCAAAATCTGCGGCCAGTAACAGGTCGCGCAACAAGAAAGATACACAACCCCCACCCAGTTAGTTGCCCGTTATGTACAGCACAATGCCGCCAGGGCTACGACAACGCAGGGCACGTGTATATTTACGAGTGTAAAGATCGCATTCTTGCGTGCACGCATTGCTCACGTAAGTGCGTTAAAACCCATTGGAATGAACCTCGCTGAAGTTTAAAAATATATATTTGGCACGGTGGCAGAGCCCGCGATCCAGCGCTTGAGTGGCGACGGTCGATGGCTCGTAAGAAATTCCTGAAACTCTCGAACCCTTTGGGGTTTTGGCCAGGGACATGGCGGTACAAAATAAGGTGGCTTCGTGGCTCGCGCTCTCAAATCGCCCACCGTACACCTGACATTGCAGTGGCGCTGCTGGCCACCGTGCGAGCTGCTCACCGTGCGTGCCCCGACGTGCGGCAGCAGGGCCCTGAGGAGGGCAGGCCTGCCCCGCGACTCCCACGGCAGGCCCAGCGCCTGCCTGAGCAGCAGCCCAAAGAGCGGCCGCTCCGCGCAGCCAATGTCCTCCTGGTTCTCGCGAGCGTACAGCTCCAGCAGCAGCTGCATGCATCCATACACGCTCTCCACCACGCCCTCCACCTGGGGCACAACCCGGGTGCGTTGATGATCCGGTACTCGGCGATTCTCTCCGGTCACTCACACGCCGGCGGTTCAGTCGCCCCCTTCTGTCGCTACTGCTAACACCCAATGTTTACTGTTCCCGTGAACTTCACTCATTGATTCCTCTGCCCATACTGAGGACTCGGTCTACCAGAATGTTTACCTCACACTGCTCCACTTTAAAATCAGTTTATTTTACGTGAAAAAAACCCCAACGTTAATACACAGATCAACTGCATCACAATACGCCTTCAACATTCAGAAATACACAATAAAGGCAAGGCAATATATATAACACACACATACATAGTGTAAGTTGTATACAAATAAAAGTACTTGTGTCAACATTAAACAAGCGGAATCTATTTTAATCCAGCGGCAGTGCGACTTGACAGTGAGCAGTTAGGGAACTTAACTGCAATCCAATTATTGAGGTCAGATGCTGTAATCTGTAATGCATCACGGAACATTCACAATTGCCAGGCCAATGTTCTGCACATAAGAGGGGAACTCTTCCATCCCCTCCTCACGGCTCCCGAGTTTACGCAGAGACAAGAGGGCCTGCGATTGTGTTCGATATCTGCAAACCCCCTGAGGATCTACCAATTCCAAACGATTGTCAACTGCCCCTAATCTCCCTAAGTATTTACAACAGAGACTTAAGAGTTGGTGGTGCAGCACGCTGTTCAAGAGATCAAATGTGCAAAGTGATGACTAAACTTTAAAAACATTTACATGAGAGATAAGCGAGTGAAATTGGTCTCTCTCCATTGGTTTGGTGGCCCCAAGCAAAGACCACTTGTGCCCCAAAACATCCACAAATCTCGTGTCCACACCTCTGGCCAACATAGTGTTCGTAAAGCATTTGTTTCACATTGCGTTGTTACCGCAGCGTAGTGCCGACTTAGCACACGCATTCAAAATTTCTCCTGCATGCTATCCGTGCTGCAGCCTTTAACCCCGTCGGTTGAGAACCAGCGATGTAAAGGAATGGCTGGCTCACCTCACGCCTCGCGTTGGGGGGAGTGGCACAATTCGACCTGATCCATCGACTGACCGCTGACTGCCACGCACCCACTGGACACTGCTGGGCGGGCACCGGCCGCGGGTGGGGCTTTGTAAGTGTGCACGTTGAACTTCTTTCGCACCGTACGGAGCCAACCGTCCTAATTGGAGGTGCGGGGGGAAGGTCAACACCCCCCGTTGCTTCGACCGCCGCGCTGGGGGATCGGACCGGTCGACCTCTGTACGGCAAGTCCGGGGCGCCAAGGGCAGCTTGCTTCGTTCTAAACGCGTCCGAGCGAGACGTGGGGGGGAGGGCGGGGGGCGGAGTGGCGGAGACAGACGCCGAGCGAGGGCTCACCGGGCTCTCCCAGTTGCAGCGCAGGAGCAGCAGGACGCTGTCGAGCCGCGGGCCGCCGTCGGGGAAGACGCGACGGCCGGGCACGAGGTCGGCCAGGTCACGCCGGTTGCTCCGCACGCACCGCATCCACAGCCACAGGACTGCCGGCGCCCGGCACCGCACACACGCACGCAGAACGGAGCGCGTAGCGCGCACGGCAATTGCTGCTCGGCCACTTGTGAAAGCGTTAACGAAGTGCCTTCCGTCAGGTGACACGCGTGTCGGTAATAGCACGAGAGGGGTGCCTTGCGACATGCGCCTATTGTCGTTGGTTCATTGAGCCTGGTTTTGATTTGGAAAGTCCATTTCAATGTTTTGTACGTTGCTCTAAATCCAGATTAATAGAGTCATTAAAATGTTAACAATAAAACAAGCTGTAAAATTCTGAGGCTACGGCAGAGCTATGCTAATGAATTCTGACCAAAGATTATAAACACACAAATGCTTCAGAATGTACATCACTAGACTGTGCCACATCTGCAAAAGACAAGAAATGGAAACCCCCACATCAATAAAAACCTGACACGGAGCATTAGCATCAAGCGTGAAACACCGCCAAGGAAAAAAAAACTGCTGAAGATGGAAAAAGAAAAAACATTAAAGACGTCGACTTGAATTGGCTGTGCAGAGCGCTCGCCACTTAGCGGCTTGCTGGATACAAATTCGTGGCATGTGAGAGATGACTCCCCATCTCCATGTGCACAGCACCGTCACCATACCCCGCTCCTCAAGCTTGTAGACGCGGCTAAGGTTGGTAGAAACACAGCTAAAGTTGGTAGACAGAGATAAAGTTGGTAGACACGTTGGTAGACAGAGATAAAGTTGGTAGACATAGATGAAGTTGGTAGACACAGCTAAAGTTGGTAGACACAGCTGAAGTTGGTAGACACAGCTGAAGTTGGTAGACACAGATAAAGTTGGTAGACACAGCTAAAGTTGGTAGACACAGATAAAGTTGGTAGACAGAGATAAAGTTGGTAGACACAGCTAAAGTTGGTAGACACAGCTGAAGTTGGTAGACACAGCTGAAGTTGGTAGACACAGCTAAAGTTGGTAGGCACAGATAAAGTTGGTAGACAGATAAAGTTGGTAGACAGAGATAAAGTTGGTAGACAGAGATAAAGTTGGTAGACACAGCTAAAGTTGGTAGACACAGCTAAAGTTGGTAGACACAGCTGAAGTTGGTAGACACAGCTAAAGTTGGTAGTCACAGCTGAAGTTGGTAGACACAGCTAAAGTTGGTAGACACAGATGAAGTTGGTAGACACAGCTAAAGTTGGTAGACACAGATGAAGTTGGTAGACACAACTAAAGTTGGTAGACACAGCTAAAGTTGGTAGACAGAGATAAATTTGGTAGACACAGCTAAAGTTGGTAGACACAGCTAAAGTTGGTAGACACAGATGAAGTTGGTAGACACAGCTAAAGTTGGTAGACACAGCTAAAGTTGGTAGACAGATAAAGTTGGTAGACAGAGATAAAGTTGGTAGACACAGCTAAAGTTGGTAGACACAGCTGAAGTTGGTAGACACAGCTAAAGTTGGTAGTCACAGCTGAAGTTGGTAGACACAGCTAAAGTTGGTAGACACAGATGAAGTTGGTAGACACAGCTAAAGTTGGTAGACACAGCTAAAGTTGGTAGACAGATAAAGTTGGTAGACAGAGATAAAGTTGGTAGACACAGCTAAAGTTGGTAGACAGCTGAAGTTGGTAGACAGCTAAAGTTGGTAGACAGCTGAAGTTGGTAGACACAGCTGAAGTTGGTAGACACAGCTAAAGTTGGTAGACAGAGATAAAGTTGGTAGACAGAGATAAAGTTGGTAGACGCAGATAAAGTTGGTAGACACAGCTAAAGTTGGTAGACGCAGATAAAGTTGGTAGACACAGCTGAAGTTGGTAGACACAGCTAAAGTTGGTAGACGCAGATAAAGTTGGTAGACACAGTTGAAGTTGGTAGACACAGCTAAAGTTGGTAGACACAGATAAAGTTGGTAGACGCACATAAAGTTAGTAGACACAGCTAAAGTTGGTAGACAGATAAAGTTGGTAGACAGATAAAGTTGGTAGACAGAGATAAAGTTGGTAGACACAGCTAAAGTTGGTAGACAGATAAAGTTGGTAGACAGAGATAAAGTTGGTAGACACAGCTAAAGTTGGTAGACAGCTGAAGTTGGTAGACAGCTAAAGTTGGTAGACAGCTGAAGTTGGTAGACACAGCTGAAGTTGGTAGACACAGCTAAAGTTGGTAGACAGAGATAAAGTTGGTAGACAGAGATAAAGTTGGTAGATGCAGATAAAGTTGGTAGACACAGCTAAAGTTGGTAGACGCAGATAAAGTTGGTAGACACAGCTGAAGTTGGTAGACACAGCTAAAGTTGGTAGACGCAGATAAAGTTGGTAGACACAGTTGAAGTTGGTAGACACAGCTAAAGTTGGTAGACACAGATAAAGTTGGTAGACGCACATAAAGTTAGTAGACACAGCTAAAGTTGGTAGACAGATAAAGTTGGTAGACAGATAAAGTTGGTAGACAGAGATAAAGTTGGTAGACACAGCTAAAGTTGGTAGACAGCTGAAGTTGGTAGACACAGCTGAAGTTGGTAGACAGAGATAAAGTTGGTAGACAGAGATAAAGTTGGTAGACACAGCTAAAGTTGGTAGACACAGCTAAAGTTGGTAGACGCAGATAAAGTTGGTAGACACAGCTGAAGTTGGTAGACACAGCTAAAGTTGGTAGACACAGATAAAGTTGGTAGACACAGCTAAAGTTGGTAGACAGATAAAGTTGGTAGATGCAGATAAAGTTAGTCGACACAACTAAAGTTGGTAGACGCAGATAAAGTGTCTGCTTCAATGTTCGGTGCCAAGGGGCCTAAACATTTTTGTTCCCATTTAGTGCAATAGTTTTTCAATTAAAGTATTATTTTAGTGGTTAAAAAAAATGTCCTGTCATGTAAACAGATTTAGGATGGCTTGGGGAGGCCTTCATCCAGCAGTGGATTTATCACAGCTGACGACGATACCATAATGTTATTATATTTACATCGAGGCATTTAACAAGGGCAAATAGGCATGGGGTAAAAAAAAAGCAACCTTCCAGTCTCTCGATAGCCATCAGTGACCAGAGGCGCTTCCAGCAAGCACACGGTGAAAGCCGTCAGTGACCAAACAAGAGTACGGTTATCAGTCGCTCCATCGGCAAGCGCCGAAGCAAAGGACATCCACATTCTTTTCAGACATAACTCAGTGCTATTTTATTTCAGATGTCGAAGTCCCACGGATCAAAGATCGCTTTTTTTTTTGATGAGCTCAGCACAACGCGGTTTAAAGTCAGGAAATTCCCAGGAACATGAGGATTTTTTTTTTATTTCGCTCTCTCATTCTTGTTTTAAAAAAGCGCAGTCAAGATCGGAGAGAATTCAGCCGCTATGCGGGGGTCTCCTCTCAGGCTGGACGTTTCTCATCCCTGACTTTTTGAGAACATTTGACATTCATGAGAAATGAGTAAATTTTAAACCTACCAAGGCTGCCGGAGCTTTCATTCTCTGGCCGTGGTCTCCGTGCTTTCATCTTGTATTGCTAAATATCATTGGGCATGGCGGTTCTTGGTGTTTAATGGCAAGCTGCATTTCACTGGAATCAAGATTCCCAAATGTATCTCTTGTATTTTGACAATAAGCATTACGAAGATTTGTTTTGTCCGTATATCTTTGCAAGCTTACCCCATTTGTTGAAGTGTGGTGTTATCGTGAACAATCCGTGCTCAGTGTTAACCAAAATCATGGATAACAATTAAACATTTCTGCCGTTCCGTGGTTCCTAGGAAATTATCACGATTCACCCCGAGCGGGCGTTTCGTGATGAACGCGGTGGAGTTTTTTTCAGGTGCCCTCTGAATGTGCCCTCTGAATGGACTGACGTACCTTGGAACGCGGGGTACTGGGCATCCTGTCGCTGCCCGCAGAGTCGGCACAAAGCTGGGAAGATCGAGTCGAGCAGCAGGCAACCCTGGCGCACGGCACATGACGATCATGTTCAGCGCAGAAGTGACAGCGGCCAAGTGGGTTGAGACAGCGCCTACCGGCTCCACTGACATAAAGCAGGAAATGTTGAAGCAGGAAACCTGTGGCCCAGGCCCCTTCAACAACAGCTACTGGATTGGCAGACGTCGCAGACAAAAGTCCAACAGCACTCTGAGGGAACGTCCGGCGCAAGACAGAAGAAAACGCAATGATGCGCCATCATGGAAAGTCGACCCTTGTCCAGAGTTTGTCCGCTTTAACAAATGGTGCAAGAAAACACGTGGTCCAGAAAGCCAATATGCTGACTGACCTCAAAGAAACGTATTTATGTAGCGAGACAGGCTAATCTATTGATTACTTTATTACCTATAGTACTCTTCGGGTTTGAGTGGTGGCTGCGCGATAGACGAGCCGAGTTCAATCCCCGGTCACAGCTAACATCAGCGGCAGGTGATAACAACCAGCACTACCGGCATAGTTAAGTATGGTTAACTAAACAATGCTGTCACGGCGTGAGAGAAGGCCTTTATCTCATTGTGGATTGAGAATGGCTGGAATTCCTCCATGATGGAGGTGATTTCATATTCAAACAATGCATTTAACTCCGAAACAGGAAAGTGGATATTATCCGGCGGCGTTTGTTTAAAGCAAGCAAACTCTGGATTCGTTTTGACATGCTGGGTCTCATCAGCTGCACCATGTTTGGTAAACAAATGTTTCTGGGTTATAAGGGCACTCCAGCAACATGTTTCACAAACTCACTGCTGATAAGAGCCAGAACGTAAAAACCAGTCCAGTTTCCTTACTTGGACATATGCTGCAGGATAATATTGTCCTGGAGAGCCGACAGGCCGATTAACTAAATATTGCCTTTCTGTACATGTGGAGACACAGAATGAGGTTCTGATTAAGTGTTTTAAACACAGCCAAAGTTCATCTTTTCACAGATTAGATATTACACAACATAACTACCCACGTTGGCTATCTCTGGAGTAATGTTACTTTGCTCTTAATATAAAAATGGCAGCAAGCAATGTGCCCCCTTCCATTTGCAACGTGCACGTTATTTTTTGGTTTCAATGATTTCCAGCGCACACATTGACAGCGTCAAGCGTTTATCAGTTGCAGGCTTGACGTAGCTGCATGCTGGCACCAATTGCATTTTGCAACGACACAGGATGATGCCTTCAAAAATATTCCGAGGGGAAAAAAAGACCCCTCATATTTTTATATTTACGAAGAAGTCCCCCTGCATTAGCGTCAATTCACGAGGTTCACCTGCGCATGATGAAGAACGTCGTTGCTCAGGAGACGCGACATCTTTTCACAGATCAGACACGACGAACACGAAACATCTCAACGGGAGTCTCGCCGTTACGGCGAGACTCTCGGCCGGCACGCGACTGCCATGATCTCCCATGAGCCACGTTGCCAGCGGTCAGGGTCTCCAGTCACCCAACCCTAACCCGCACACGCCTCAAGGCATCTAAGATCGATATGCCATAGAGGGTGTCCGTAAAGATTCTCTTCCACGATTAATGAAAAATAATAATTGGGCAGCAGCATGCGCTACTTCGATACGCCTGGCAGCATGAAGATTTGTTTCCGCATGTTTTATCCCTGCCAGAATATTAATCTCGTGCATTTGGTGTTCGACGAGTGAGGAGCAGCTAATTAAACAACCAAGCGAGCACGGTTTAATCGGCAAATCCAGATTAATCGAGAGTTAACCGGACATACATATAATGTTGCCAACATTTCAACCACGCAGTTCAAACTGCTGCCTAATCACGAACCTTTAATAATGGACGACACTTTTGGGGACGACACTTTTGTGCGTTTCATAATAAGAGCCCTGTTTCACAAGCCACGTATGTATGTTGAACTTTTTTCTCATCACAGGTAGCCAACCGAGTTAATCCATGAGGGCTGTGTGTCATGAGCCAATGTCACATCACACAATTTAAATATTTGCGGATGCCGACATTGCAAGCGACCTGCGACAGCCAGCGAACAAGCGCTCCCTCGGCCGCCTGCCCTGCCGCGGGGCCGCGGGGCACGGTGCATTGCTCGTCGCAACACGAGAGACGCGTTCGATGGTGACGACAACGCTGGTGAGATTTTCAAGACGTTAGCACCTGAGCATCGACAGAAGACAGCAGAACATCCTTCCTGGTGCAGGTAATGAGACCCCTGCAGACGGCGAGGCACGAAAAATCATCCCACTGCAAGTCTGATGCACGCAGCCGGAACAGCCCAATCCGCAGTACACCTGTTCCTGCTGAGCATGGAGGGAAACAATCCGTCAATTTGCTGCCCTTTAGGACATGGATCTGGCATCATGCACCATCTCATTGGAAAAACGTGCAGGTTATAACTTTCAAAATGAATGCGCATTATCAAGTCCCTAGCCGAGAACGGACACCGTGGGGCATTATGTTACACAACAGACACCGGCCAAACTTTCGCAGGGCAATGTGTGGCACATGGACAGTGTGGTACACATTACGGTAATAGTCAATTCCTCACTCGAAAGAAGATGAGCTTCGTTGAGAGTCGGTGATGCAAAACACATGCCAAATATTCCTGGTTTTTATCATAAAAAAATGTGACTACGTTTTATCTGCTATACACTCTGTTGTGTTCTTCGAATAAAAGAACAGATTAAAAAAAAATCTCCATTTTGTGTGGCACAGCCCCGTGCGGTGACGTGCCAATCACGTGGTAAGCGTCGGCTGGTGCTGGGCAGCCACCACTAGAGCCCTTGGGCCATGGCACAAGGGCATCAACGTGAGGGGAATCAGCTCGAGGGGCATCATCACTCGAGCTTGCAGCAAGCAGCAGTCGTGAAGCGTTCCTCGAAGCAATTTACAAAAGCAGACTCAGGATCCTGGAAAATCTCTCTGAGACCAAAGTGAACACGTTCGTCAACAACACGGCCTTGCAATGCAAGGTGACGGGCGATGTTTCAGGCAATGGACCTTCTTCATAGCACTCCAACCCCAAATAGGGTCACGTCATAATATAGATGTGTGTGTGTTTGTCAGTTAGCAATCAAGGAGCAATGCAGTGAAGACTGACATCGCAAGCCGTAAGCCCTTGTGCAATATTGGTATAATGTTTGTACAGCATTAGTCACTGAGAGTGGGATTTGCCCTTTGATCGGCTTTCATGGCACAATCTTCTGAAATGTACACGAGAATGTGCCATGTTGATGTCTGATGTTACATTTTGTATTTCATGTTTTTTTTTTAAACCCCAGAGACAAAATTTGCATTGACATAAGTTCATAATGAAAATAGATTACAACCTTTGTCCCCGCAATTGGGAGACCTAAACTCGAAAATTAAGTTTTTTAGACGGTTCTAGCTATGACCACAGACATCTCTGCTCGTGCCAATGATCAGCTTCCTCACCATTAGGGTTGAAATTTTGGGAGCATCAAATTTAAATGGCTCGATTTTAATTATCTGATGTCTTTTTTTATACACCGCTAATTAAAACCTCCACATTCAAAGCTTCACAGGCCAAGATTCAAAAATAAAAATGATCAACATCAGGTAAGTTTAAAGACTTTGCTTGGTACAAGCATAGACCCGACTCAATTTGTAACACATTTTAGCTTTAGAGGTCTTCCGGATCTTAATTAGAATTTACAACACTCACCTACTCACTCGCAAATGGATATTCATATTCGATATGTTCTCAATGAATGTACTGAATTCAATAAATGTGGGTTGAGGATTATTCAAAGTAATTTAACAACTCTAACTGCTACTGCCTATCTCGTCAAGGAGCACAAACCATCACGCAAACTCCGATCATCCTCGCAGCCAATTCTGGCTAACCATCGAATAAAGACGGCCACTGCATCGCGGGTTTTAGGATGTGCTTCTGCGCCCTGCCGATATTAGGAAGCCACTGGAGCTATGCACTTTTAAATCTAGATTGAAAACTCATGTCTCTAGAAAGTGATTTTTGTGTTTAGCTTCTGTTGTCCTTCGCCCACACCTCCGATTACCACGGTCGGCTACGTACGGTGCAAAATAAGTTCAACGTACACACGCACAACACACGCACAACATACGCAGGTACAAATGCAAACCAAAGTCGGTGAAGCGAGTGTCGTCGTGCGCGTTCCACCTGTCAGACGGAGCGCGTCCCTCGCTGCGGCCGCCGCCTGCGTAGGGTCCACCAGGAGGTTGACGCTCAAGGCCAGGGCGTTGGCTGCGAGGAGTCGGCCGTCTTTGCCCGTCACCTGGAGGGGGCACGCGCGCAGACGCAACGTCCACCAGGTGAGAGTGCGCAGGGCCGCCTTGAGCGCCTCAAAGTTCCGTTCCAGGAGGCCAGGCTTCAGTCGAGCTGGGCTACCCAATTGGTCACGTAATCGATTACTCTGCTGATTATCGGTTCAATAACCCGACCAATCGGATTTACGCTACAGCAGTTTGGGGGGGGGGAGTCTCACCTCTGTCCCCAAGTGTGCCACTGGACGGGAAAATAATTATGTCATCGGCATCATCAGCCATGTCACACTAGGTGCGGCTTGCAGGGGGTTTCCCGCCTTCAGGAGTGAGGATGTGGGGGGTGGCTGCCCGGGTAATTGACCACAAAGGAAGTGGTGGATTGTAATTTTAAGTCAAATAATCGACTTATAATTCACCAATCGTCTCAGCTGCAGACTTCCGCCTGCGACAAGGAACCCCTCGCAGCACGCTAGCGGCCGCGTCTATTTATAAACTGGGTAATGAGCATGTTAAATTCACTATTTCACAACAGGGAGAGCGCGTTTGCCCGTGTGGAGGCTTTCCCACATCGCACTGCGCCACGTCGCAAGCGCGTGGCGATGTTCACGTTCAAACGTAAACATGGACAGGGCACTGGCATGGTTCAGCTCTGGAGGGACGTGCAGGCGTCACGCTCTCTTAGACGTGGTCATTGCAAGCCGCCCGAGTCCGCTACACGGTTTGCGGATCCCAATGCTGAGTAGCAAAACACGATTCCATCGTCTGATTAGGGTGATAAAACCCTTCACACAATACAGTACTGTAAAAACGCCCTTGTTGTTGATAAAGCGTATAACCCTTGTGTTTTACTATATATGTATGTAAATTGGTACTTCAGGCCAGTGATGCTGTAGCGTAATGGGATACAAGCAATGCGTTAAAAGACAAGGATCTAAGGTTCAAATCCCCGCGCAATATTTCATATTCATGCTACGTGCGGAGTGGTGGCACAGTGGTTAGCACACCGAGTTCGATTCGCAGCTAAAGCTGACATCAGTGGCAGATGATATCTCAATCGGCCCTGAGTATCTCCCCTCCTTCATCAACGCGCATTGAGTAGCATGACGATGTACGGACAAACAACCACAACAACTTACACGGTGTGGTAAGGCTTTCATCCAGCAGTGGATTGGCAAAGCATTGCACATCATTATTCTATTTATTTCCGAGAAGGAAATACATACTGATCGTTTCAGCTTAATGGTTGTATGAAATAAATATGACGTAATAAGTGAAGGTCAAGTGATGGAATTGCTTGTTCAAGCCACTGCTGGCAAAAGGAACTCCACCAGGGCAAGCACGAGAGGGCCCGTCAAAGAGAGTATTTGGCCTACTCTTCCATGCTGGCCACACAGCGTGGAAGCAGGCAGGAATTCCCCCCACACTTTACCCCGCCACAATTGACCACCGCTTCAACTGGCGTGCCGAGAGACCAATTCGAACCCGTGACCTCGAAATGACAAGTCAAGTGTGCTAACCATTACACCGTGGCAGCATGCCTATATGAAACACAATTAGATAAATACAAGCACACTCCTCTTCATTGCTATGCCTTTGTACAGACTATCAGGCCTCCTATGGTTGTTAATTCGGCCTATAAAGCCACCCTTACAACTGAACCTTTCTAATCAGTCAACACAAGCTTTCCTCAGTAGCTACAAAAGTACAGAATTGGCTTAATTGAAATAAAAGTGCCGGAAGTGGTTCACGCATATTAAAATAAAGTATCAATCTAACCATGAGCCAAGTTCTGAACACAACTACTTTCAACCATGAAATTAAGACACACTGACTCATTCAACTGTAAATCCACCCAGTCTGTGCACTTATTATAAGGATGAATACATTTTATGTTTGCTTGGTTAAAAAATACTCAATTACATTTTTACTTCCGAACTCTTAATGCACACATCACAAATGTGACTTTTTCCTGGGAAATGTCAAAATTTGGGCAAGGCCTTCTCAAAATGAAAAACTAAAAATTTAGCGCGCGGTCTTGAATGGAATCCACAGTGGGGCCTCACCGTAGACATTTTAACGTACACTCTGTCACGTGAGCGGCCGAACAGCACAGAGCGTAACCCGTGGTGGACCGGCACTCGCGTCTAGAGAAGCCGTGCCACGCCGCAGCAACGGCGCTCTAGCGCTCCCGCGCCGTGTCCGACGTTTCGGTCCCCGTGCCCGTAACACGCGGTGCGGAACGGCGGACATCGCAGCCGCGCGCGGTACAACCCCAAAAATACAGTGGGGCAGCACAACGGTATATTCATTTACCCGGCAAAGAGTCATCAACTTATTCTGTAACAAACACGTAAATCCCAAAGGGCACGTGAAAACTATTTTATGTTTTTATTTTAAGACCAAGCGATCAAAAATACCACGAAACAAAAAATTGAATTGTGCCTTCTAGTGTGCACGCCACATCTGTTCCTATGGAAAGCGATGTTGTTGGAAGCTTATTTATTTATTGTCCCTCCTGTTCCCATTGTAGCGCCAGCCTCCCCACCACCACCTTCACAGAGCCAGCCAGCCCTACCACACGCCCCCACCCCTTGCCTACCCTCCCTAAAAAAGGCCGCCCTCATTAAAATGTTTTCAGCGAAGTGAGGCAAGGCAAGGGAGAGGCACGGAAGTCTGGGAACGCATCTGTGGGCAATTTTCATCGATGAGAAGCCAGCTTGTACTGTCGGACGGCCAGCGATCGTGAAGAATGTTCGACCAAGTATGATGTTAAAAAGCTCAGGGCAGTGATAAATATATTCGCATTTTAACTATCTCTCGCCAATAATCCATCCGTCTAAAATGGTTATTGTTGACTGATGCCCAAGAATTACTGGAATGACTGCAACAGTGTTGCACCATATGAATCTCCTTTCTACTTGCCTCCTCCCCTCCTGCTTCGTGAGCTCACAAGGCCTACCCCTTCCTGCCAATATGGCACTGGCAAGGCTCAAATGTCACACCGCAGAGTTAAAATTTATTTTTATTTCAACAAGTTTCATAAAAATGTGTATTTGAGGCATGGATTAGCCACAACACTTGGCATCAAACGTTAGGGCCCTCTCATTAGACGCCTGTGTGAAAAATTGAAATAAATCATTCCTCGTTATAGTAAACCCCTTGGCAAGCAGGTTCCAACCCCCTCACTCAACCTTACGTCTGCGCCAGCAACTTAATCAAATCCTTTTTTTTTCAGAGGCATTTCCCAGCCTTCGTCATTCACACGGGTAACATTGAGATATTCAAAAACTAAAACAAAAAAATGGGGCTATTATTGTGGAGCACCAGACTTTAATTTTACAGGGCTAATTAACTATTTTAGATGCAGTTTAGTCACTTCCCAGACCAGTCACGTGTAACGAGCGCTAATTGTGGTGCGTGATCCGTAAGCCTTGGAAATGTTGCTGACGCTAATGGATTTGGTCACCGCGACCCCCGCTGCCGCCGTGGCCGGGCACCTGCTACTCATTAATCGGCCCGGCGGCTCGGCGCGCAGGCAACGGTTCGCGTGCACGCGTACGGACCCAGGCACACGAGCGCCTCTCCGCGCCCCGCGGGAACGGGGGTTGCGCGCGCGAGTGTCCGTTCTCGCGCACACCTCGTTGCGGTCGCACGCTTTCACCACGATTGCGCCGTTTGGCGCAACGGACGGCAGCGCGTCTCGCTGTGTGCTTGTGTGCATGCTGTCGAACTCCTTTCGAGCCGCGCGTAGCCGAACCGCGCTAATCGGAGGTGGAGGTTTCAGCGATACGAAGCAAAAAAGCGCACTAAATTAAAAGGTGAAGCGGCTCTCGTGTCGCTCTGTGGTCGGGTGGTACAACGCAGGCGGTCGCTGTTTCTCTCCCCGTGCACGCGGGAGTCACCGGCGCGCGTTGGAGGCGGCACCTGCCGTTAGCGGTTGTACTGCGCGACCCTTGACGAGACATCCCTCTTTTGTCAGCCAGCGACGGAAGACTCCACTGGCGATGTAGCCCATCTCCCAAGTGGAGACCTCGACGCAGGTGAAGGGATACGCTAAGAAAGAGCCTCAAAGGTCGTGTGTCAACTTTGAGGTCCCTTGCTTTCTCCTGCTGCCGCCATCACGTGGAACTTTCTTCCCCCAGGCATCAGTGCTGCCCACTGCCGCTCCCCCCCCCCGTTCAAGTCCAGACTCAAGACCTCCCGTTTTTTTCCTTTGACCGTCTGTATAGAATAAATATTCCCACCATTTATGTACAGCGACCTTGAGATGCGATTCAATTTGGATGCCATATAAAGCCACATTGTTATCGCATTGCGGTGGCATCAATGGTATTGACCGTGATGACCTCCTGACCTTCACTTTTAATGCATTACTCGCGATGCTAGAAATTACCGTGCAATACTCGGGATGTGGAATCTGCAACGCACGCAAGGACATCTGTTCACATTTATGGTTCACTGCACAATGAGGGATTTAAAGTCTGGCTCTGTAGGCACAGGGAACAGAACTTCATTAAAAAAAATCACGTAAAATTTCGCAGCCACCGTTGACATTAAGCAATGAAAGCAATAACAAAGAGTTGATTCACGTGTAAAACGTGTAAAGTTATATTGTTTTAATTAAAACGACGCATGAGGTTGTGTAATAAAGGACATCACTGCCTAAATGGCATCTATTGCGCTTGTATTTATTAATTAGCGAACAAACAATTCCCATCACCGCACGAGATGAAGAGTTCAAGCACGACGACGGTTTGGTGACCAAATGCTTCTAGAACAGAAACGAAGTCCGCAGAGAGGGCCACGCACGCGCGGTCCTCTCACGGCGTCCTCTGTAGGCAATGCCCACCGCCGTGTTTCCCAATTTCATAACCACAAGCGCTGCCCGGAGGCTTCTGGAAGGCCTCGGGGGGCATGAAGGGCCCGCGGCATAATGCCACGTGGGGCCGCTTACGCGCGAGTGGAAAAAATAATACGGGGCCTGCCACTCTGGGGCCCTCTTGGGTGTGAGGCCCACGGCAAATTGAACTTTTTTTTCCTGCCCCCCCCCCCCCGCCCCTCTGGGAGAACATGATAACCACCACTTGCCACGTTCTTTTACAAGCACGTTCTATCGAGCTTTAAAAGAAAAAAAATGAATGTAAGTATGTAGTACAGACACGAAATCTCAGTGAGAAAGTTATATTTTACAGTTCTACATGTGTCAGCATTATTACAACTACGACAACTCTTGTATGCCCAGGAGAGTCCCTCTGAATCTGGGGACCATTTTCAGGAGGGTCCCACCAAATGGTTTAAAGTCCTGCCCTTGGAAGCTGAAACCCACTTCTATAAGACTTTTCAATTTGCCCAAACGTCAACTTAAGGTGTGTTCATCTTCCTCGGTGTCAATTTAATGCCCAAGCCTATGCCAATTAAAATAAAAAACAGAACCTCAAGACACTTTTTAAACGATGATGCATGTTGGATTGAATGTTGAGATTGGAGAATCCGGCCGCTAGGAACTGATGTCAACGTAGACCAGAGATTTGTTTAATCGGCGCTAACATTGCACACATTGTGTGCTTAGCACTGGTCATCATCTGCTTCATAGGCCAAACCAATCATCCGGGGATCCTTTTCCCGTGCAAAAATGCGTACCAGTTTGTGTGACGTCAACGAACCAAATGAATGCGTTCAAAAGTGTGTAAATAGCACTCTGCCTTGGTCCATTATGCCAATAAAAACCCCCATCAACATTCCTGAAGAAGTGCATTGTGGTCTGTCTTGATTTGGTCATCATCAAAATTAATTTGAGAAAATGTGAGGACGGATAGGCAGCAGACCGACTGATGCACACGCGTTGCTCAAATTTAATTTGATGGTGACCGAAGACACGAAGACCACAATGCACTTCTTCAGGATCTGCTGATGGTTTTTGCATCATGCACAAATGACAAGCGGTTTAACACGTAGGCTTTTGCGACCAATGTCATCCATAATAGAGGTTTTTTTGGGTTAGATCGCGTAAATACATATGTCGTTAAACCTGCCACCATCCGACACAGCCAACTAGTTCCATTTAGTTCATAGTTCCATTTATTAGGTATAGCCCTGCGAGCCATTCGGCTCTTGAATCGGGTGCAACCGCAACAAACAAAAACATGAACAAGAAAACATCTTAAAGTGATTATGTGACTGTGTAAACAGAAAATCCAGGAAAAAAACATCAAAATATTTCTGAAATAGCACCGTACACCAACGCTGTGTGCAAAAATCCCAGTGGGATGCAAGTCAAACACCAACAACAACCACAAGACAACTAAGATTAAGGCCTTCAGTCTAACTCCGTACTAAAATAAACAAAAACACGGCCAAACAAAAAAAACAGCGAGGCAACACACAGACGGACATCACAAACAGCACACAGAAGAATGGCAAAACTGCACGGAGGCAGCAATGAATCCCTCTGGCTTTAAACGTTTTGATAAGATTGGGACATGCGCACTGAGATGAATGTGGACAGAGAGGAGGAAGAGGAGGGTGGTGAGAGATGCGTTGAGAGATGGGAGTTCGATATCTATCAGGAGAGACCAAGGATACATGAAGTCGGGAGATTTACAGAGATGTAATCATAGAAGGCTGTAAGCATCTGTTTGGAGATGCACCAGGAGGAGGCATGCTTATTATTTTAAGTAAGGGTTGTCACGTAAACAGAACATGGCCAATTCGTCACGAGTACAGCACACCGGTGTGTTGGAGAGCCAAGCCACAACATTTACAATCTGAGTACAACGTTACGTCAGTAATTACAACTAGCTTCATCAGGCGACAGTCAGATTTGTGGAGAAGTCCACCCGTTTCGTTAGACTGATGAAGCTGGTTGTAATTACTGGCGAAACGTCGTACTCAGATTGTAAATGTTGTGGCTTGGCTCTCCAACACACAACAGGTGTGCTGTACTAGTGCACTACACTACACACTACATTATACACTACTATACACTACACTATACACTACATTATACACTACACTAGTGCTGTACTAGTGACGATTTGGCCACGTTCTGTTTACGTGACAACTCTTACGAGTTGGCTGTGTCGGGTGGTGGCGGGTTTTAACGACACTTCATATACTTATGCGATCTAACCCAAACAACCTCTATTATGGATGACAAGTGGTGTTTGTACACGTTTTGTGCGTTTTTTTTTCCAGCCTGAACTATTTTTCTGGAATGATGGGCTTTGCTTATCATTTACAGATTTGAATAAACATATTGTAGACATATCATGAACAATGGGGAATACCAATCACATTAGCAATGACTTCACCAGTTAAACTCTCTCCCAAAGCTTCCCTGGGCTTAGTGCCACCATTACAAGTCCCTGCCCGGCAAAACTAATACATTCAATATGCATTCTAAACTCGAGGTACAGTATTTAAAACCTCCATATGACTGTCAATGTGATCAATACAAAGGAGAGCGCAATCCTTCCGGCATCTCGGTCACCGCTCTGCTCCACAGCGGAGGCAGCAGCAGGGACCGGCGGCCGTGGTGATGGTGACCTCTGCCGCCACCGCCGTCATCCAAACGGAGCGGGGGAGGGGCCCATGGCTGTCCCCATTTCACACCAAAATCGATTAAAACATTTTGAATTAATGAGCCAAATTTGTTGCAATGGATTCTATCCAAATGTATTCAGATGTCAAGGCAATTACATTTGCTTCGACTTTTTCTACTTTGATGTACGTATGTATGCAGAACTACTTTGGCACCATACGTAGCCAACCGTGCGAATCGGAGGTGCGGGGGAAGGACAACAAACTAAACACACAAAAAAGGTTTATTTGGTTGAGCACTATCGCACCATGTTCCTTGACATTTCCATTATTTATTGTTTTACTCCACACACCTAGGCCGTGATTTTCACTCAACATTGCCGTGCCAAGATCGTAGGTGGCTTTACCCATGATCGTTTGCCATTTGTCGGTAACGTGCAACTGTATTGCGAAACAGCAGCAATAAAGTTGCAGTGCTCTTTCACGGGACGTTGCGTAACATTTGAAGTCACAGGCAGAAAAATTACGCCTTTAAATGTCAGCTTAAGTGCGTTTTCCTGAAGACATTGTGATCACGTGCAGAAATATGTAACAACAATAACAACCACAGTGTTTGCGTGGGGCTGAGCGTAACATATGGCAAAGCCAAGTCGTAAAAATTAAGTCGGGGAACTATCTCACACACACACAAACAGGGCTCTCGTATCGCACACAAGCATCGCAGTGTAAACTCTACACTCACAATTAAACGAAAACAAAATACACACATGACGCATATAATACATCTCGACGATGTTGAAAATACACAGTCCCAGCGGATACGTTGATGCACAAGAACTTGAATGTCTCGATGAGTGTCTCACCAGGCCAGAAACTGCTTGGAGTAGAGACTGGAGGATGACTGTTAGGTTGTGGTGGATAGCAACCCTCTCTCGCGACTCCAGGATACTTCTCAAATCGGAGTGCAACAGCTGGAAGATCTGCAGGCACACCTGTGGCAACAGGGGACACGGATCTCACTCGCGCGGACACAACGTTGGCAGGCATCTTTATATCATCCGTTTTCAAACTCTACCCATTGTGTTTCTCTAAGAATCAGAATTTCATGTTAGGAATTAAGGCGATCGCTAAGGCATTACATTTCACGGACGATTGCAGCCTGCAGTAGTTTCACAGTCGGGGGGACATTGCTACATGTCTTTATCCAAATAGGCAAATTGCAAGTAATTGTTTTATTTTGACCGTGAGGCCGGCACACATGGCCTACCCTTTTCTAAATAACAGCGTGGGATTTTCAACATTCCCTTTGAACTAAAAACTTTTTTTTTACAAGGTAAGGTCTACTGAGCTATACAGCTTTTATTAAGAAGTGACCTGACCACAAATGATAGCTCAACCAAGTGGCTTTTCATGTGGAAATGTACAGCAGCCAAATACTCTAAACGCATGCTTCTAAATGTGGAGGGAAAAACCGGAGGACAAGGAGAAAAATCCATACGACCACGGGGAGAACGTGCAAACACCAAATATACACGCATCAGGGTTGGGTTCGAACCCACGACCTCCTGCATACCAGGCGAAGAAGTTAACATCTCGCCACCGTGGCGCCCCACCATGAAACAGACGATGCCATCTTGTTTTGGTGAATACACCCGCAGTATTAACCAGGGCGGCCGCTTGTGTCAAACCATAAAACTCTGTAATACACGGCAAATGCTCACCCACTGGACAATGCCACCGCCCCTTCAAACGTGAAACAAATAAAATGCTGGTTTACAATAATTTAAACCCAATATCTTCAAACTCCATTCTTCATCACATTACTGAAATGATGACTTAAAGCTTTCGTGACTGCAGGAATACATCTTCTATGGGTATTTTGATGAAGCCACGTAGATAGAAAAATAATAAAAAATATCACGTCGTTTCGATCGCAACACAAGCAATCGTCTTCAGGTGAGAGAGGACGATTGCTTGTGTTGCGATCGAAACGTCGTGATATTTTTATAATTATTTTTATATCTACGTGGCTTTACCGAAAGGCTCACAGAATATTAGTGAAATGTACAAAGATAATCTGGAACTGGGGGGCGGGGGTTAAGTTCGAAAGAAGAAACTTGGGCTGCTACAGCGGCGAGTGAGTACTGAGGGGAAGTTGTAGGCAGGGGTAAGTCCGTGTATGTGGGATGTTACAAATGGTGAAGGTGATCTTGAAGTCGATCGTGTGGGGATCCGAGGAGGGTTGGGAGAGACGTGGTCACGTGTGGGGTGTGGTGGAGGCACTGGCCGGAGCACGACACACGTGTTTTTGTTTGGTTAACGGATAACCGCGAACCTGACAGCGGTCGGCTGCAGCATCAATGCCCGGCAAGCTTCTCAAACATCGGAAACAGATAATCTTTTTTACCCCCCCAAAAAAGACTGCCGCTTAATCCGGGTACAAAAATGATGTTGAGCTCGTGTTTGAGTTGAAGAGGGCCAAGTAAACAAAAGTCAAGCTGAATTGCACAGAACTGATAAACAACTGCAGTTAAAATCTGAAGTGTCTCTACGTTTAATATCGGGGCGCACGACAGGGCAGCACAAGTGGAGGCTCCCGAGCCAATCACGTCCGCTAACTCAACGTAACATTCGCTGAACACAGTCAATACATAAATAAAACTACCAGCAATAAAACCATATTCGAAACTCAATCAATTGAAAATTTGATTTACTCTTGGTGCTACATGAAAATCGAGTAATTGTATTACGGTGCGCTTCATTAAATGTGGGAGTCAGAGGAATGCGAGTCGCGTACAAAAAGCTCATAATTGCACCACAATGGCATGCATGTAACATGCATAATGAACACCTCATGCCAACTCGGAGCAGCTGCGCTCAACTGCATTAGACTTCTCACCACAGGAAAGCTATATATTTTCCACTGGCCTATCATTTATATAGGCAGGGGTGTCCCAAGCATTCTGTGTTAAGGGCCGGAATGCCGAACAGAGTGCAGGCAGCAGACCACAGGCATACTGAACATAACGGGAGACAGGAGAGAGAAATGTGTTCCTAAGAGCTATGGGAGACATGGGGTGAGAAGCAGTGGTGCGCGCAGCGGTGAGCGTACCGCGCATTGAACCTGGCGACCCGAGTTTCATTCTGGAGAATAGAGAATAAAAAAACCCAGCTTGCAGCAGGAGTGGAACTTCTAAAAAAGACCCTATGATGTGTTTTAATTATTAATTCCGCAACTTCTGTCACTTTGGGTTTAACTCGCACGCGAGTTTAAAGCTCTGTTGAATAAAATCATCGGCTTACCTTGATGACAAAGTAGCACCAGGGGCTGTCCCGGCTCCCGCTGTCTTCGAGCACCAACGTGAAGCTCCGGGCCACTTTAGCGATGACGACCTCCAGACTCTCCCTCCAGAGACCTCGCACCAACACTCCCTCCTCCAGGTACGCAGACACTGGGCCACAGAACAGCGCTCGGTCAGTGGCCATGTTCACATTTGCCCGTCACCTTGGAATAATCGAGTAGGTCCACAGGCAAAATTGTTCAGTACAGCCATGGTTGTATTTTTGACGACGAGATTAACTCCTCTGCCCGTCAACCCTGGCTGCGTGCATGGCCGGAGCAGAATTGCTAGAACCTGAGCCGTTCCTCCCCACCCACCACTCTAGCTGTCAGGGTGCGTGTGTGTGTGTACGTTGAACTTCTTTCGCACCGCACGTAGCCAACCGTACTAATCGGAGGTGCGGGGGAAGGACAGCAAACTAAACACAAAACGGGGTAACACGAAGCTGTCCACCGGCCCCACGTTCGTGTGATCACGTTTGCGTTAAAATTATAAAGGAGACTTCACAATTATTTCTGAACTGTTGTGAAAAAACCCACGCAACACAGCTTGATCGAGGCACACACCTGCCTGCAGCTCCTCCTGCGACATCATCTGAAACAAACAACAGCGGGGTGCAGCGTTAGACAGGCGGACTGCATATGCACGTATTGTTCAACGCAAACATTTATCCATTAATTTTTTCCCCAAAAAATATGAAAATCAATATCCGTATACATGCATCACCTAATGAAACTACGAAGTGCTTTTAAAAAAAAAATGGTTCCCTTAGACAATGAATAGCTGAGGCTTTTCTTTCTTCTCGTGTTGCGAAGGGGGAATGTTGCACCACAAGACTGAGGGGATGGCGACAACTTGGGGAGGCATTCGTACAGCAGTGGATAGATCAAACCTGACGATGATCATGGAAGAAGGCGGTGACCGATAACGCAGACAGGAATCCGAGTTGCCCGTTACAGCGAAATGTAACGGTAAGGAATAAGCAATTTGAAAATACAAAATAAAATCCGAAATTGGCACCTAAATATCCACCATCTGATATCTACAAAATGTTTATTTGAAACGCATCCAGAATAGACTAGACCGGTCCATAACACCAAAGCATCTACAATCAAGGTTTTTTCCCGGCAAGGCCCTTGCCGAGCGAGAGAAAATGTGACAGATATTATTTTTACTGGGTTTTGTTGGCCATTTGGCATAGACCTTCGGGAGTAGAATCGTTCATGGAGTGTTCGCATTGAGATTGACGAGAAGCCAGTCAGGTGGTGCGGCAAAGTGACGCGGCTTCGTTTAAATCCAGGTCAAGGCAAAGGTTCTGCGTGACTTCGCCGCGTAAAGACGAGGAAACAGGGCCCTGTTCCGCAGAAAGGAATGCCGGTTACAGCCATCTCTCGGAAAGAGTAAACATATGTTTTGAATTTACAAACTTCTTTTTAACCCGTCTCCATCTAAAGAATCATCCGTCAGCGCCGCATTCACAACTATTTACTCATAAATGAGAAAGATATCGCCAAAACGATTCGCCGTCAATATCAACTGTTGTAAATTATTGTTAAAACTTGAAAGGAAAAAAAATCCCACCCAAGTGGCCTTAAAAAAACAATGGGCTCGGCAACGTTGTTTCATTGTCCTTGCGCAACAAGAACGACGCATATCTACGACTCCACTGCAACGGAGGCAATGAATGGTAGGTAAAGGTGCAGCCCTGCAATTGCTCGCTCACACTACTGCTGGCGGGATGGCCTCCAGTAGAGGAAGCTCTGGAGGGAATTCGGTCTACTCTTCCACACTGGCCAGAGGCGGGAGTGCCCGCAATTAACAAACCGTGCCCAGTGTTTAAGCTGCGCCGCCACAGTCGTAGCGTACGCGCTTAATTCGAGCGTGCCACGTCTGCACTGCAAGTCAGGTGTCCTAACCGTTATGCTGCTGTGGCAGCTCCCATTCGCCTGTGTCCCAGTTAAATAGGTTGGCTTACAGCCCTGGTGTCGTGACCTCCCGACCTACGTGTGTGGGATAGCGGTATTCGGAAGACATGCGATACCCAAGATTACACTTGCAAACAGGCACCAGTCGCTGGGCCACTTCTCTGAGCTCGTTCTGAACATTTCCGCATAATGCACTGTGGCAGTGACATCCTCTTTTTTCAGGGGCAGCAAGTAAAAAAAAAATTATTAGGCACTTTATTTTCCCATAATGTACAGACCCGCGAAAAGTGATCCATGTAATGTCATGCAAAGTTGCAATTAAAAAATCAGTGTTTTAACATAACAACTTAATTGCATTCAAAGGCAATTACATCAGCGCCCAAATATATATGCAGGCACGCAGCGAGGGGACGTGTGGCAGGCTACGGCGTAACCCACGTGCTTCACGTCATAGCCTTGCCCAAGTACGAATAATTTAAATGTATAAGCTCCATTGTGTTGATGTAATGTGTAAAAGTAGTCCTGCAGCAAAGAGTTAAAACACTCCTAAAATTAAAGTGGAGGGACATCCTTATGATGGAGCCCACTAAGAATGTCCTTGCCACTAACGAATGGTAATCTAGGCGCATTCATTTAACATTCCCGACTCCACTGATGAGAGCCAGGGTTGCAACTGGTCCAGAGATTTGCTTGCTTGAAGAAATGCTGATAGATAATATTGGTCTAGGAAGGTAAGGGCTTAGCAACATGTGGAGTGTATTGGCACGTGGAGACTCAAACCAGATTTGTGTTTATATTTGCTTTTAATAATGAATTTATATCGATTCGTAAGCTTCATGACACGTGCATCCAGTCGCGTGTGGGAATTGATCTTTTATCTGTGTAAAGTATATGCAAATTATATGCTGTTATATTTAGGCTAATGGAGCAAATAAGAAGGTACTGCACAGTAAATAAGAAACAATACACATTATAAACATGTCAAGAGGCAGCCCTGCAATGCTTCACTCACGCCACTGCTGGTGGAAGGGTCTCCACTAGAGGGGCCCCAAGAGAGGGCAGTCGGCCTACTCTTCTACACTGGCCAGGCGTCTTGGAATAGGCAGCAATGCCCACACTTTACCCTACCACAAGCGAGCTGCCAGTCGACCAACTATGGTGTGGACAGAGGTGGGGGTGACCTCTGGGTTACAAGTCCAGCGTGCTGACCACTACTCATCACAACACGGGCAGCGTCCGTACAAAAAAAAGGGAATTAATTCTTAAATCGAATCATGGCGCTAAATTTCAACAATTAATTTGATTGCTGGTGTAGGTGGGGGAGGGGCTTGGGTGGAGCCACGGCAGTTCCCACACTTAACCCCACCACAGGCAACAGCACAGCAGCGGGCTTCCTACATAGCACTCATTCATTGCACGAGGCAGCCAGAAGCAAAAGTGCAAAGAGAAAAATGGTCCGGGTTTTTTTAGTTTTAACAGTGCAGTCCCCGGAACCGCTCACCGTGTTTTACCCGGTGCTTCTCAACATGCTCTGCTAACGTGTCCAGTTAATTAATTGCAAACTTTACACAGAAATGTAATTAAGATTTGTATTTTAAAAAAACTTGAGGTTTCACAAATGTATAAAAGGGACATTTATTTTGAACAGCATTAAAAACCGCCCAATTTGTCTTCCACGTTGTCACAGATGTGAGTGGCAGCGAATGAATAATAAATGTACTGTGTTGGCAATGAAAAACGAAGTGTTTAATTTTCTCATTTACAGAGCACATTATTATCACGTAAGTAAATCAATGATACCGCATTTTTCAGTGTTGTAACTACTATAAACATTTTAAATCCAACTGCACAGCAGGCAGCAGACATCTGCTTCCTGAGCAACGAAAGCCTTGCAAGGGCCATGTTGTCTCAATTTAATTAAACACGCGTGTAAAACACAGTTTGATTTTATTACATTATTAACAAATTAATAGGCAATTAATCAGCCATGAGATTGCACCACTTTCAAAAAATTAATTTCAGACAGCACTTATGTTTATGTGGCCGTCTTTACGATCACGAACGAGTGTGCCCGAGTTAGCCGCAAAGTGGGGGTGTGTATTCCACGGGTGGGAAGAGGGTAACTTTAACAATCAACACAAATACAAAAGTCAGATGACCACTCGTTTAGAGAGAGCCACGCACACACGCGCGCGAGGCAGACATGCAGGGGGAAAAGAGGTGGCTCTGGATTTAAAACGCAAAATCAGTTGTCACGAATTGTGTTCTACGTTCCATTTACCGTATTCTCCGGATCGTCAGGCGCTTTGGAAAATACCAAAGCAATGCACCCTTTGGGTTGATTTTCAAGAATAAGAAAGAAAAAAACCCAATCTGGAAGATGCAATGTCCCGGAAAAATAGAAAAAAAAACGGGTAACATAAAGTTTTGAGAAATAGAGTGTACGCTGGGTAAAAAAAATGCGTCTTACTTAGCTTTGACAATTCTATAACCTTTTTAGAGTTTGTGAATAAACATTATGTTGGCACAAATAAGAGCAATTACTTTCTCTGGGAATGAATATTAAGTTTTCAGCAGCATTTTAAAAAAAATTGTGAAGAAAAAACGCACGTTTTACTTTCAAATTTAATAACTATGAAATGCATACAGTTGAGCACAATAGATTAAAAAAATGTGTATTCCACTTGCATTAGTAGACCATGAAAAGGGGGGGGGGAATGAATAAAATTCATTGGCGACAGAAGGAGAGGCCCCCTTTAAACCCGATACAGCGAAGCTAAGAAATGAGTTTTCCAGCATTTACTTCGTATTTAGATACGCCGTTTAATGCGCCACCCGTCATTTTGTCAGAGCCGTTTATGCTTTCGTTAACATTTTAATCAACCGAATCGTGGGGAGAGGTCGGGGAGCACAGAGAGCTCGGGTGGTGGTGGTGGTGGTGGTGGTGTGGCCGGGGGCGGTGGGTCTTGGTGGTGGTGGGGGGTTGGGAGAGAGGTGGAGGTAAGGTTGCCGGGGTTGTGGTGAGGTAAAAAGTCGCCGACTTCTCGTCCCATCAAGACTAAGGAGAAAATTAAACAACAGTAAAAAAATGTAAGTGGCCAGGAATCGAGTTGCACGTTCCAACGCAAAACCCCATTCCTCGCCGGTTTCAGACCTCTTGTTACAAGTGTACGGCGAGGTCTTTTGTTTTTAACAATTAAAGAACAAAAATGCTTTAGAGGCTAAATCCTGAGGCCTGATAAGAAATCTTTAAATCAGCCCGGGCCGCAAAGCAGCAACGACAATTAGGGAAAAGGTCGAGTTACCACACTTGCAAAACGTGCATTTGTATAGCAGTGGAATATACGGCAAATAAACACAATTTATATTTACATCATGAGGCCTCCTTTGCCAGTACCAAAATATAATAATAGGTTTTTTCCCCTTTTTTCTGGCAACAAAACTGAAACCTTTTTACAAGGAATCATGTTTACATTATCCACAATACCGGGAAGGTCAGAATGCATGATGTAAATGCTTACTCCGAGCCCTCATTACTCTGATCGTGCGTTGTCTTTGAGTTGTGCGCCGTTTTGCGTCATCTGGTCGAACACCGTATGGGACTAGGCTCTAAGGAAAGCTGTCTCTGGTGTGGGCCAATCCTTTTCAAGGACAATGCATAAATTATCA